AAACGTTATTTTTGAAATTAAACTGTTCCACGAAAATGCGCATATGAAAATCATAACCGGCACGCAGAACGGTAGGACAAATTGTAAGCTTCCCCAAACTTGAAACTCACGCGCCGCCTATGAAGTCTTAATAAAATAATTGCCTCCATGTTTCCATGGTTGGATTTTGCCTATTGGCTACTTTGAAGCAAGGTAAGACATGCCTCATAATATGAAATAAAACACTCAGGTTTCAAACAGCCTCCAGCTCACATTGTAAAGTGGTGGGTGACGTACTGATAGCCTGTTGCCTGCACTTGAATGGTGAATGGGAGGCGTGCCTTAAAAATACCAGTAGAGAAAAAAATAGTAGCTCTTTTTAAATCGTGCACCAAAACTTTTTTTAACAAGCGATTGCATTTAGAATTGTTGTCCAATGAATGGGCTTATAAAAGCAGATGTTTTACTCCAGCAGCAACCAGCTGAGGAGCAGCAGGAGAAATCCTGCTCAGAATAGGCTCTGTATGCTGTGATGGTTGTGTTGGATAAATAAGATACATGATGACTAACGAAAACACACACAGGCCAATTTAATTCCACTAAATTATGCAAATTAACCTACAGACAGATAAGCATGACCGTCAAATGTTATGTTAGTGGTCTAAGGCACTGCATCGCAGTGCTAGCTGTGCCACTAGAGATCCTGGTTCGAATCCAGGCTCTGTCGTAGCCGGCCGCGACCGGGAGACCCATGGGGCGCACAATTGGCCCAGCGTCATCCAGGGTAGGGGAGGGAATGGCCGGCAGGGATGTAGCTCAGTTGGCAGAGCATGGCGTTTGCAACGCCAGGGTTGTGGGTTCGATTCCCACAGGGGGCCAGTATGAAAAATAAAATAAAAAAGAATGTATGCACTCACTAACTGTAAGTCACTCTGGATAAGAGCATCTGCTAAATGACTCAAATGTAAATGTATGAATAAAAAGCATTATTTTGCAATGGGATTTTTTTTCTTCCCCGGTCATTTTGGCCAACAACAGTTTTATTTAAAATCGGCTTTTCATTTTTTGGGGGGCCAAAAGCCGGCAATTGCTGACTAACGGAAACCCTGGTGTGTGTGTGTGGTGTCTCCAGCATGCCGGTCTCTCTCATGTCTCTGCTTAACACAAATGTGATCTTATGTGCCCAAAATCAAGAGAACTCAGTAACCATGGCAACAGCTGCCTCAGCCCATCGCCTTAGTTTGAGTGTAATGGCCCAGGACTGGCACGTGGCTAAGTAACTGAGGGAGATGTGAAGTAAAGAGGGAAAGAAATTGGGGAGGGAGTGAAAGAGTGTGTGGCTGTGGCACACTACCCCTAAAAGGAAAATGAGAGTTAAGACCTCAGTTGAACTACTGTAGAATCAGGGCTGAGTGAAACATACTGACAATGTAATGTACTGGTAAATACACACACACTAAAATAATCCATCTAATGTTGACCTTTTCAAATGATCAGTGATTTCAATCTTCCCCCTGGCTCCCATCAGTGATCTACTGAATATTATAAACCAGGTAGTTTGGGTCCTGGATGCTGATTGGCACGAAAAGCATTTCAGCCGTGTGTATATCAGACAATATACCATGGGTATGACACAAAAATACCTGTTTACTGTTCCATTTATGTTGGTAACCAGTTTATAAGAGCAATAAGGCACCTCGGGGGTTTGTGGTATATGGTCAATATAGCACAGCTAAGGGCTGTTCTTATGGATGATGCAACACTGAGTGCCTGGATACAGCCCTTAGGCCTTGGTATATTGGCCATATACCACAACCCCCCGTGGTGCCTTATTGCTATTATAAACTGGCAACCAATGTAATTAGAAGAGTAAAAATAAATGTTTAGTCATACCCGTGGTATACGGTCTGATATTCCATGGCCAATCAGCATTCAGGGCTCGAACCACCCAGTTTATTTTTTACATATATATTTTTTTGTCACTTAGCAGACGCTCTTATCCAGAGCGACTTAACAGTTAGTGAGTGCATACATTTTTCATACTGGCCCCCCGTGGGAATCGAACCCACAACCCTGGCGTTGCAAGCACCATGCTCTACCAACTGAGCTACAGGAGGCCCCAGTTTATAATGGCCAAGATACCACACCCCCTCTGGCTCTGTTGCTTAAATTAAGGGAGTCTACTGCAATATACGGTCTACTTTACATCACAACCATACAACGTGTATGATGTGACGCACGTCATTTTCCAACTATCCGAGATGTGGATAAATAAGGGAAAACATTTTCCTTTATGACCCATTTCAGAACAGTGCAAGTGCAGAGCAGGGGCACCAACAATGAGCTTGAGGGGTTGGAGTATTAACGCACTTTAGCAAAAGGAAAGGGGGATAGATTGCTGCTGGCTAGGTCTCCTGTTGCTAGTGCCCAATGGAGTGCCTTGAGCTGGAGTGTGTGTTTGTGGCAGGGGGGAAAAAGGGCTGTTTGTGTACAGCTGTGACAGGCATTCACCAAACACTGGTACTATTGCCTCTCCAGCGTCCAATTCACCCTGCTGATCAAGTGTGTGTGTGTAGAGGAGGGTATGTGGTGGGGGCCACTTTACCCCTCTGGTCTCCGGACAAGTATGTGTAAGGGGGGGGGGGGGAGATTTGAGAGTTGTGGTCAGTTCCCTTGAGGCGCCTAAAAATGGCAACAGCCAAATGGAGAGGAGAGACTGAGAGACATGCTCCTTATTTAACATGTACAGACCTATAGACACATACTCCTCATTTAACATGTACAGACCTATAGACACATGCTCCTCAATTAACCAACAATGAGCAGCTTCAGGACACACACACTCAGACCCTCCTGAGCGAGCCACTCTATAAGGAAAGACAATCTGTCTGCTAGTATGGAGGACAAAGTTACTAGCCTGTCCTGAGTGGCTCCAGTGTTAGCTCCAGTGTTAGCAGTGCGCTAGGTAATGAATATATAATCTGGATTTGTCCTGGATCCATTATGGTTAAAATGAATGAATCCTTGAACAATATTTTCTGCTACTGTGGGGAGTGAGTGTGTACAGTGCATTCGGAAAGTATTCAGACCCCTTCACTTTTTCCACATTTCGTTAGGTTACAGCCTTATTCTAAAATGGATTCAATTGTTTTTATCCCCCATCAATCTAAACACAATAACCCACAATGACAAAGCAAAAACGTCTTTTTAGGAATGTTTGCTTATTTATTAAAAATAAAAAACTGAAATATCACATTTACGTAAGTATTCAGACCCTTTACTCAGTACTTTGTTGAAACACCTTCGGCAGCGATTACAGCCTTAAGTCTTCTTGGGTATGACGCTACAAGCTTGGCACACCTGTATTTGGGGAGTTTCTCCCATTCTTCTCTGCAGACCCTCTCAAGCTCTGTCAGGTTGGATGGGGAGCATTGCTGCACAGGTATTTTCAGGTCTCTCCAGAGATGTTCGATCGGGTTCAAGTCCGGGCTCTGGCTGTGCCACTCAAGGACATTCAGAGACTTGTCCCGAAGCCACGCCTGCGTTGTCTTGGCTGTGTGCTTAGGGTTGTTGTCCTGTTGGAAGGTGAACCTCCGCCCCAGTCTGAGGTCCTGAGCGCTCTGGAGCAGGTTGTAATCAAGGATCTCTGTACTTTGCTCCGTTCATCTTTGCCTCGATCCTGACTAGTCTCCCAGTCCCTGCCGCTGAAAAACATCCCCAAAGTATGATGGTGCCACCACCATGCTTCACCGTAGGGATGGTGCCAGGTTTCCTCCAGATGTGACGCTTGGCATTCAGGCCAAAGAGTTCAATCTTGGTTTCATCAGACCAGAGAATCTTGTTTCTCAAACTCCAAGTGGGCTGTCATGTGCCTTTTACTGAGGAGTGGCTTCCGTCTGGCCACTCTAACATAAAGGCCTGATTGGTGGAGTGCTGCAGAGATGGTTGTCCTTCTGGAAGGTTCTCCCATCGCCACAGAGGAACTCTAGAGCTCTGTCAGAGTGACCAAGGCCTTCTCCCCCGATTGCTCAGTTTGGCAGGGCGGCCAGCTCTAGGAAGAGTGTTGGTGGTTCCAAACTTCTTCCATTCAAGAATGATGGAGGCCACTGTGTTTTGGGGGACTTTCAATGTTGCAACACATTTTTGGATTGTGCCTCGACACAATCCTGTCTCGGAGCTCTACGGACAATTCCTTCAACCTCATGGCTTGGTTTTTGCTCTGACATGCACTGTCAACTGTGGGACCTTATATAGACAGGTGTGTGCCTTTCCAAATCATGTCCAATCAATTGAATTTACCACAGGTGGACTCCAAGTTGTAGAAACATGTCAAGGATGATCAATGGAAACAAGATGCACCTGAGCTCAATTTGAGTGTCATAGCAAAGGGTCTGAATACTTATGTAAATAAAGGTCTGTTTTTTATTTTTAAGAATTTTGCAAAAAAATCTAAAAACCAGTTTTTGCTTTGTCATTATGGGGTATTGTGTGTAGATTGCTGAGGAAATTGTTTTATTTAATCCATTTTAGAATAAGGCTGTAACATAAGGAAATGTGGAAAAAGTAAAGGGGTCTGAATACTTTCCCAAGGCACTGTATGTGGAGTGCTTGTGTGTCTGTGTACGTGTGTGTTCCTGTGTGTCTGTGTTCCTGTGTACGTGCGTCTGTGTGTGTTCCTGTGTGTGTGTTCCTGTGCGTGTTCCTGTGCATGTTCCTGTGTATATGCGTGTGCGTTCCTATATATATATGTTCCTGTGTATGTATGTATGTATGTATGTATATATATATATATATATATATATATATATATATATATATATATATATATATATATATATATATATATATATATATATGTGTGTGTTCCTGTGTATATATATATATATGTGTGTGTTCCTGTGTATATATGTGTGTGTTCCTGTGTATATGTGCGTTATTAACCTGGTAGAAGTAAGGGTTGGGCTCTGGAAATCGAAGGTCAGGCCAGGGTTGGGGGCCTGGAACTGGGGCAGGAGCTGTACATGGGGCAGGTTCCCCAGCTGCTTATAGCGCCAGTTATACAGATTACACAGACTGGAGGAGAGATGGAGAACCATGTTAGCATTAGCATCACAGAGATTGATCATTCATTCCTGTGGTTAGAGAGAGCCACCATACCATTAGCATCAAAGAGATTCACTATTCAACACTTTAGCTTAGCGTCCATGTTAGTATACATAGAGGGCACCAGAGGTAAAACAAACTCAAGTGACTATCCACTCTACTATTCAACTGTATCAGCTGGTACTTAGCAACTATTGGATCATGGACATAGCCAGGGTTTTTTAATTGGCTAACAGACTAGTTATTTTCGTCTCGTCTTACGTTTAAGACGATTAAAAGATGTCATACACACTAACCAAATATTCTGTTGATATTTTTGCACTAATGTTTGATGATCAAAAACAGCATGATAAAGTATTTTCACATTTCAAAATGACTTTTTGCATGTTCAGACTTGTTTATGTTTGATTAAAGATAAAAAATAATATCAAATCAAATGTATTTATTTATAAAGCCCTTTATACATCAGCAGATGTCACAAAGTGCTTATACAGAAACCCAGCCTAAAACCGCAAAACAACGCATTTCTGTTTTAACCATATTTATTTATGTCCCCAGAGCGCCTAACCCACCTGGCGCGGGCACGTCCCTGGGCATCCAGGTCAACGGTGGGTACCCCCAGGCGTACGAAGCGGGTGAACAGGGACTGCTCCATGTTGGAGTACTTCTGGAAGGCCATGTTCTTAATGACGGGGGGCAGCTGGTGGTGGTCTCCTATCATGATCCAACGCTTCAACCTGCTGTAGCCGTCTTCTGGGTTCTGGAGAGGGAGAGGAAAGATACTGTAGGTCAGTTCAGTTCAGTTCTCCTCCACAGAGACCATAGAGTGTTTCTGAGGGAAAATGACTGCCCATGCATTAGCAAAAAAAAAAAAAAACATTTTGATTTTGAAACAAAAAAGTTTGCTCCAGCATTTTTTGATAATATCCTATTATTTAATATAAAACTTAAAGCTGCAAAATGTAACTTTTTGGGCGACCCAACCAAGCAGTAGATCTGTTCTATGTGCGCTATTGCTATGCTTCCTGTATTTCGTTTTTGTGTCTTACTTTCGGTTTTGTAGACCAGCTTCAAACAGCTGAAAATACAATACTTTTGGTTATGGAAAATATATTTCACAGCGGTTTAGATGGTACAATGATTCTCAACACTACACTTGCTTGTTTTGTCACAAACTGAAATTAGGCAAAGTGCATCTTTAATTATGGACATGTCTTTCTTTAGGTAGGTTAGATCTGATTGTATGGTGGCGGTCAGCTAGTTAATATCTGTGTCAGTGTTGCTTTGGTTTAGCGCCCCCTTCCAGAGCGTACAGGCCATCCACTAGGACAGCTCATAGACAGGTGGTCATGGGGAGAATTGTTCAGACATATTGCAGCATTGGTGTGGTGTGTGTTTGCGAACATGTGTTGGGGGCTGACGTCCTTTACATTTGTCTGCTGCCTCACAGTAAAATCATAGCCCCCTGGAGAATAGCTGTATGCCTTCACTCCTTCTCTCCGTATCCCTCCTCTCCTTCTCTTTTCACAAGCAGCGACAACATTCAGTCCATCTGCCTTGCATTTCAAACACCCCTCACCGCCACAGCACCTCTTCACACATCTGTTCTTCGCTCTCCATTCTCACCCCTCTCTGCCTGTTAACTGAGTGGCGAACTTTGCACTCCTTCATTGCCCTCCAGCTAGACCATAGGACTGTGTCGCGGTGTCAGAAACAGCCTGGAAACAACTATCTGCACCAACGCAAAGCTCCAAGCAACTGATGCAAAGTTATAATATTCAATTTAAATTATTATATACAATTCTTGCTACCAATAGAATGTTATTTATATGGGGGATACAATCTTCCCAGCTCTGCAGATTTTGCTGCGAAGTGACAGAATCATTAGATCATTTGTTTTGGTACTGTCCATTTGTAGCTTGTTTTTGGACACAGGTCCAGGAATGGCTAAAGGATTGCAATATTTACCTGGAGCTAACCCTGCAGATAGCACTACTGGGTGATCTGAAAAGTCATAGTCAATCGATCAATAATATAATAATACTTTAGCATATAATAAGACTTTCCGTCTCTCATGCAAATTAATTACTTAAAAATTATACAATGTGATTTTCTGGATTTTTGTTTTAGATTCCGTCTCTCACAGTTGAAGTGTACCTATGATAAAAATTACAGACCTCTACATGCTTTGTAAGTAGGAAAACCTGCAAAATCGGCAGTGTATCAAATACTTGTTCTCCCCACTGTGTGTATATATATATATATATATATATATATATATATATATATATATATATATGCGAGAAAAAAACATATGTGATGCAGACAATTATATTGATGGAAGTTACAATCTATCTGAAATATTAAAGCTGATCTACCCCCTAAAAAAAAGAAAAAAAAAGAAAGTTATAATATTCCTGCAAAACTTCCAGTAGAATGGCTGTCCCTCCATCATATCTGCAAAGGACATCTTCAATAAAGGATATGGTTTTGGATTGGTGAAACTTGATCTCAAGGCCAAGTCTTCAAATGGAGTGGAATTCTAAACCTCTGGCTAGTCCAACACTGACACCAGCAAAGTCAATGGCAAGTACAAATGGGGTGAATACAGCCTGACGTTTACAGAGAAGTGGACCACAGACCACACTCTGGGGACTGAAATCACTGTTGAAGATCAGACAACCAAAGGACTGAAACTTACGTTCTACACCCAATTCTGGCAAGAAGAGTGGGAAGGTGAAGATTGCCTATAAGCGTGAAAACGTCAACCTGGGTGTGGATGTAGACTGACTTTGCCGGCCCGGCCATGCATGTGGCAGCAGTGGCCGGGTACGAGGGATGACTGGCTGGCTACCAGATTACCTTCGACACAGCCAAGTCCAAAATGACCCAGAGCAACTTCGCTGTTGGCTATAAGACAGGAGACTTCCAGCTGCACACCAATGTTAATGATGGCACATAGTTTGGAGGGTCCATCTACCAGAAGGTGAATGACAAGCTGGAGACAGCTGTGAACCTTGTCTGGACAGCAGGCAGCAACAGCATCTGCTTTGGCATCGCTGCCAAGTACCAGCTGGACTCCAGTGCCTCCATATCCGCTAAAGTTAACAATGCCAGCTTGGTAGGAGTTGGCTACACCCAGACACTGCGGCCAGGTATGAAACTCATCCTGTCTGCACTGGTCGATGGCAAGAGCATCAACACCGGTGGCCACAAACTGGGACTGGAGCTAGAGGCATAAGCTTCTAGCTATCCTGTCTAGTGAAGTCGTCGTATTTCATATTTGAGGGAATAGCAGAGGAATTTGGCCTGATGTATTTCCAGCCAAACAACCCTTAAGGGATGTCTCAAAGGAAAGGGATGAATCTAACCTAAAGCAACAACATACATAACATAGCCCTCAGTTCTGTCAGTTAGATTGATCCCCAACCCATTAGCTACAGTAATTTCCTTTCAGTTGGTTTGTAGTCAGTCATCCTGTGTGTTCTACAGTAGCCAAGTACTACTAGGTCTGTTATTTATTCAGTCATGTAGCCCTATACCGTGCTGTACACCACTAGTGAAATACATCCTCCTTCTCAAAGAGCGCATTCCTTCTGCATCTTTTACATCTGCTTTATCGGTTTGGCTCATTGGTTTGGACAATCTGAGGGTTATATGAAGACACACTATATATACAAAAGTATGTGGACACCCCTTCAAATTTGTGGATTCGGCTATTTCAGCTGACAGGTGTACAAAATCAGGCAAACAGCCATGCAATCTCCATAGACAAACATTGGCAGTAGAATGGCCTTACTGAAGAGCTCAATGACTTTCGTGGCACTGTCTGCTCAGCCGCGAAGTGGTAGGTCACATAAGCTCACAGAACGGGACCACCGAGTGCTGAAGTGCGTAGTGCGTAAAAATCGTCTGTCCTCGGTTGCAACACTCACTAGAGCGTTCCAAACCGCCTCTGGAAGCAATGTCAGCACAAGAACTGTTCGTCGGGAGCTTAATGAAATGGGTTTCCATAGCCGAGCAGCCACACACAAGTCTAAGATCACCATGAGCAATGCCAAGTGTCGGCTGGAGTGGTGTAAAGCTCGAAGCCATTGGACTTTGGAGCAGTGGAAACGCCTTCTCTGGAGTGATGAATCACGCTTCGCCATCTGGCAGTCCGACGGACGAATCTGGGTTTGGCGGATGCCAGGAAAACGCTACCCGCCAGAATGCATAGTGCCAACTGTAAAGTTTGGTGTAGGAGGAATATCAGTCTGGGGCTTCATGGCTCCGGCTAGGCCCCTTAGTTCCAGTGAAGGAAAATCTTAACGCTACAGCATACAATTACATTCTAGACGATTCTGTGCTTCCAATTTTGTGGCAACACTTGGGGAAGGCCATTTCCTGTTTCAGCATGACAAAGCCCCCGAGGACAAAGCGAGGCCCATACAGAAATGGTTTGTCGAGATCAGTGTCGAAGAACTTGACTGGCCTGCACAGAGCCCTGACCTCAACCCCATCGAACACCTTTGGGATGAATTGGAACACCGACTGCGAGCCAGGCCTAATTGCCCAACCTCACTAATGCTCTTGTAGCTGAATGGAAGCAAGTCCCCGCAGTAATGTTCCAACATCTAGTAGAAAGCCTTCCCAGAAGAGTGGAGGCTGTTATAGCAGCAAATGGGGTGACCAACTCCATATTAATGCCCATGATTTTGGCATGAGATGTTCGACGAGCAGGTGTCCACATACATTTGTTTACATCCCTGTTAGTGAGCATTTCTCCTTTGCCAAGATAATCCATCCACCTGTCAAGTGTGGCACATCAAGAAGCTGATTAAACAGCATGATCATTCCACAGGTGCACCTTGTGCTGTAGACAATAAAAGTACTCTCTAAAATGTGCAGTTTTGTCACACAACACAATGCCACAGTTGTCTCAAGTTTTGAGGGAGCGTGCAATTGGCATGCTGACTGCAGGAATGTCTACCAGAGCTGTTGCCAGAGAATAAAATGTTAATTTCTTCAATGTCGTTTTAGAGAATTTGACAGTATGTCCAACCGGCCTCACAACCGCAGAACAGGTGTAACCACGCCAGCCCAGAACCTCCACATCTGGCTTCTTCACCTGCGGGATCGTCAGAGACCAGCCACCCGGACAGCTGTATTTCTGTCTGTAATAAAGCCCTTTTGTGGGCAAAAACGAATTCTGATTGGGTGGGCCTGGCTCCCCAGTGGGTGGGCCTGGCTCCAGTGGGTGGGGTTATGCCCTCCCAGGCCCACCCATGGCTGCGCCCCTGCCAAGTCATGTGAGAGTAGAGGTTGGATAGAGAATGATGAGTTAGCTCTGCTGCTGCTGATTAGGAGGGAGAGTTTAATGAGGGCTTGCCCCAGACAAACCTGATATTACCAAGGCTTGTAAGTCAAGCCTGATTCAATCACCGATGGGGATGCAATGTAAGGAAAACGAGGGGTGGGGGGGATGTGGGGAAGGTGGATTATCGTTACTCCGCGCGTAGTGGGTACTACAACAGAAGGCATGATGGGCTGGATGTTTGCATTGGTTAGAGCGAGACTAAGAGGTAATTGGCCAGGTTGATGTGGCTTAATGGTCTCCTCTAAACAGACCCTAGTGCTATCTGAGGATATTAGGCCCCAGCATTGACAGCCCCATAGAGTACCACAGTATGAGTCATAATACCCATAAAACCTGGAGGTCAAACAGGGAAATGGTTCCAATCTTTTTTCCACCATTCATTTTTCCCATAGGGGATTGTAGAAACACATAAAATAAGGACTGTGTTTCGTGTAGGCTTACCCCTGGCGTGACGTTTTGATAACCGTGTAAATCTCGTCATGCCAGAGTAAGCTTACACAAAACACAGCCCTTATTTTAAGTGTTTCTAAAATCCCCTATGGGAAAAATGAATGGTGGAAAAAAGATTGGAACCATTTCCCTGTTTGACCGCTAGGTTTTATGGGTATTATGACACCTCCACTGTGGGGCTCTATAAAGTCTGGATGGACCCATTAATCCTGAGTGACAGGGAGTTCTCTTTTCAGGTGAAGTATAGACCTGTAGATGGGCTTTAGACCTGAATAAAGGGGTTTAGCTCTGGTGGGTTTTCAGGTCTGGCTGTAGTAATTTACTTGTAGCAGGAGAGGGATGAAGGTCTCAATCTCCAGGATCTGAGCTGCTTCCTCCATCAGGATGTTGTCATACTGAAAACAAAAGAAAACAAGTGTAAGTGTCGAGTTGCCTCTGACTCAAGTACTATGTGTGTGTCTGATCTTTATGTACAGGTTTTTTTCTGGATTAAAAGGGAGTTGGTGGGCATGGCAGAGGGCGTGGTCGGCCCATCGGCACAGCAGAATTTTAGATAACATTTTAGAGGCCCCACCATGGTGGTGTAGACTTTTATTTTTAGCCAATTTCCTGCAATTCTACACATTTCTCCATGGCGCTGAGATACAGAAAATCCAGAAAATCACATTGTATGATTTTTAAGTAATTAATTTGCATTTTATTGCATGACATAAGTATTTTATACATCAGAAAAGCAGAACTTAAGATTTGGTACAGAAACCTTTGTTTGCAATTACAGAGATCATACATTACCTGTAGGTCTTGACCAGGTTTGCACACACTGCAGCAGGGATTTTGGCCCACTCCTCCATACAGACCTTCTCCAGATCCTTCAGGTTTCGGGGCTGTCGCTGGGCAATATGGACTTTCAGCTCCCTCCAAAGATTTTCTATTAGGTTCAGGTCTGGAGACTGGCTAGGCCACTCCAGGACCTTGAGATGCTTCTTACGGAGCCACTCCTTAGTTGCCCTGGCTGTGTGTTTCGGGTCGTTGTCATGCTGGAAGACCCAGCCACGACCCATCTTCAATGCTCTTACTGAGGGAAGGAGGTTGTTGGCCAAGATCTCGCGATACATGGCCCCATCCATCCTCCCCTCAATACGGTGCAGTCGTCCTGTCCCCTTTGCAGAAAAGCATCCCCAAAGAATGATGTTTCCACCTCCATGCTTCACGGTTGGGATGGAGTTCTTGGGGTTGTACTCATCCTTCTTCTTCCTCCAAACACGGCAAGTGGAGTTTAGACCAAAAAGCTCTATTTTTGTCTCATCAGACCACATGACCTTCTCCCATTCCTCCTCTGGATCATCCAGATGGTCATTGGCAAACTTCAGACGGGCCTGGACATGCGCTGGCTTGAGCAGGGGGACCTTGCATGCTCTGCAGGATTTTAATCCATGACGGCATAGTGTGTTACTAATGGTTTTCTTTGAGACTGTGGTCCCAGCTCTCTTCAGGTCATTGACCAGGTCCTGCCGTGTAGTTCTGGGCTGATCCCTCACCTTCCTCATGATCATTGATGCCCCATGAGGTGAGATCTTGCATGGAGCCCCAGACCGAGGGTGATTGACCGTCATCTTGAACTTCTATCATTTTCTAATAATTGCGCCAACAGTTGTTGCCTTCTCACCAAGCTGCTTGCCTATTGTCCTGTAGCCCATCCCAGCCTTGTGCAGTTCTACAATTTGATCCCTGATGTCCTTACACAGCTCTCTGGTCTTGGCCATTGTGGAGAGGTTGGAGTCTGATTGATTGAGTGTGTGGACAGGTGTCTTTTATACAGGTAACGAGTTCAAACAGGTGCAGTTAATACAGGTAATGAGTGGAGAACAGGAGGGCTTCTTAAAGAAAAACTAACAAGTCTGTGAGAGCCGGAATTCTTACTGGTTGGTAGGTGATCAAATACTTATGTCATGCAATAAAATGCAAATTAATTACTTAAAAATCATACAATGTGAATTTCTGGATTTTTGTTTTAGATTCAGTCTCTCACAGTTGAAGTGTACCTATGATAAAAATTACAGACCTCTACATGCTTTGTAAGTAGGAAAACCTGCAAAATCGGCAGTGTATCAAATACTTGTTCTCCCCACTGTAATTTCTTTTTAGATTTTTTTTGGGTGGCTTAGGTGGCCCGCCCAAGGATTTCAATGGCAGAAAAATCCCCCCAAATCCCCAGCTCCACCAGGTCATGGCGTTTGAGGGCAGTGTGGGTAAAGGTCATGGCGATGATCTTAGCCTCCTTCACAAGCAGGTACTTGGAGCGGTCCAGTCCGCTCCTCAACAGCTCAAAGGCACGGAACTCCTGATGGTCACACACACACACACACACACACTAGTAAGACGACTGCTCAGTCTGGGGTTAGGGATAGAGGTCAGGGTTAGAGGTTAAATCGTCAGCATGGACAGGTAGTGACGACTGGTTCTAAGGGCTACACCACAGTGATCTAATGTTTGTCATTAGATGACATATGATGGAAGACAATCATCCTTAGACGTAAAATTGAAGAGTAGTATAACACTTACAGTAGATCACATCCTTGTGGATTCCATTTTAACTAAATATTCTAAATAAACAACCAATACATCGGATGTCAAAATGTCACTGATGCCAAAATACAGGATCATTATCAAGTATGTGACCATCTCTTCTATAGTCAACCTCTACAACAGGAGGTCATACAAGGTCATTGTAAAAAACGAACAAAACCAATTCCTTGGAAGACGCACCAAAACAAATAGTGAAACATAAGAGTAATTGCACGTGACTTTTCTTAATTCCATTATTTTACTTTTAGATTGTGTATTGTTGTGAATTGTTAGATACTACTGCACTGTTGGAGCTAGGAACACAAGCATTTCGCTACACCCGCAATAACATCTGCTAAATATGTGTATGCGACCAATAAGATTTTATTTGGATTTTTTTATTTGACCTCTTCTACGCTTTTAGGAAATCCTTGAGATCAGGACTGGATGTGCAACCGGCATCTACAGTTATTATCCTAATAGCTTTACTTTCTTCTGCCATCTCACATGACACGATACTCTGCCATCTCCTCCTTTTTAGTCTTTTCTATCCTTAGCGGCAGGCTAGGTGAGAATTTAAAAGGGTATGGGTTACTGTTCAATAGAAGGTTAGTGAGCAGCCAAGCACTTCACAACAGATTCCCTTCCAGGCCTCGTCTGAATGGGAAAAGCAAGATTGGGGGTGCTTTCCTGAAAGGAAAAGCGGAGCCTTTGAGTGCACTAGAGAATATTAATATTTGATGCGTTACTATTTTAACATTAATATTAAACCCAATCAAAACATGCAATATTAATTAGCTCTAATTTTAACGCCTGTGGTTCCTCAGCGGTTGAAGGGTGAAATGAAGCCGGAATTCTTCCCTCCCTGGGCGGATTCACTCAGACTGAAAGGAGAGAAAGAATGGAGGAAGAAAATAGGATAAACGGCATAGGGATGGATGTCGCGGTAGATGTCTGTACATGCTGAGTTCTGGCCGGTCCTTTTCATTCAGGGAAACTGACTGTGTGTGTGCGCGTGCGTGCGTGATGGCATCGTCTGCTTAGATGGCATCTCATAAACACAACCTTTATCTTTAAACACTCCTTGCAGGCAACAGACACCGAGGCGGATCACTTTCATTCTCCTGTGATTCTAGAGGGAGATTCTAACGTCTCTGAGCGGGGGGAGACAGACATATCTCTGCAGCAGCATCATGGGCGAGGCTGAGCTGAGGGAACATAGTAAGGTGCTCCTGTCTGATGTGATGCAGCTAGTGATACGGGGGATGCCAGATAAATCAAGACCACACATACATGTTAGGATATTACCTCCACCCAATAACTTCTTTATTGCTTCTGCAAGGCCTTCGCACGGCTCCCATAAATCTCTAATGTTATTGTTATCTCTATATAAAGACTGGATACAACCAGGAGGGGCAGCAGACGAGTGCGTTTATGTGTGTGTGTGTGTGTGACTGTGTGTGTCAGCGTTTCCGTTAGCTGGTAACAGCCGGCTTTTGGCCGATTAAAAAATTGCAATGCCGATAAATATAATTGCCACCGGCCAATTGTCCAGGAGAATAAGAAAAAATCAAATTGCGAAATAATGCTTTTAAGCCTATTCATTGACGTAAATACCAGTTGATGTAAATACATTTTACTGGTCATACTCATCGGTCTATAGGTTAATTTGCATAATTTAGTGAAATTAAATTGGCGCGTGTGTAAAGTATATTCGTTATGTGTCTTATCACACGCTTACAGCATACAGATACAGAGCCTTTGAGAGGAAAATCTGACAGACAGTGCGAGAGCTGCTGCTACAGCATCTCAAACAGCAAATGCATAGGCAACAGAAGGCAGGCTTCATCAGCACGTCACACACCACTTTACAATGAGTTGGAGGCTGTATGCATTTTGAAAACATATACTTAAATAGTTTGAAACCTGAAAGTGTACTAGATATTATGAGGCATGTCTTCCCTTGCTTCAAAGTAGCCTAGCCAAAATCAGACCATAGCCGTGGAGGCAATTATTTTATTTATTGTCCAGTAGCCAAAGGCACAATCATAGTCATATTAGCAACCCATGCTAGTTGTTGCATATTAGATTTCCCCTCTTTCAAAATTTTTAACAAATATTTTCATATCTGTCACATGAAACCACTTGCATCTGCGGTGTGCTTTGACAACAGTGTTTTCCCGTTAATTGCATTATGGAAGGAACATTCACACGTAGTCTACTGCCTTGTGCTCATTGCAGCACTTACAGTGTCAAGAAACAATAGTTAATCAACATTTTCAGCTAAATGTTCTGATCTGTTGCATCAGACTCATCGCTTTTTAATGTTTTTTAATGTTTCCTAGGCCTACTGGTTGTATGGATTTGGGATCTATCGTCCCACAACTGCCCCAGAGTCTGTTTGGAATAGGCTATTTCTTTCTCGACAAGCTGACCAATAGAATATGTAAACTTTTCTACTATGGGGGATAGTAGATTGACATAGGCTAGTGATTTTTCTGTTTACTACTCATCTTGTTGGCTGAGGAAAAGTAAATGTGGACAGTCATTCTAACATCTTCAAAGTGGGCATCAGAATTCGGTAAGAAGGACCGCACATCATTGCATCCTCGACTTGCATATTCTGTTAATATGAATGACCATTATCTAAATGTAATTTCTGTAATTCTGAGCACCGTGGGTGGACACCCTGATCAGGTTACGTACCCAATGCATTTAATGCGTAAATTTGCATACATTTCTCAAATGTCCGGTAAATTAAAATGTCCGGCACCACATTTTCCTAACAGAAAACCTGCTGTGTGTGTACTGTATGTGTAGGGAATGCAGGGTGAGTGAAAGGCCCTATAATCTTCCATCTGCATCTGGGGAGACAGACAACAGGTCCTGTGTCACTGCCAATGGGGTCAGGGGAGGAGGGGGAGGGGGCACAGGGTGATATGTCACCAAATCATCATGTAATTCCAACCCATGTCTCACAGAACACACTCATAAACAGAGGGAGTGAGTGAGTGAAAAAGAGATTGAGTGAGAGATTTAATAATGAGGGTGAAAAAGAATGAAACCACATCATATTACAAACTCTTAATATCACAACAGAAACACAAAAAACTGTGATTCAGTGCGATGTCCCAATGGCTACTTCTCCAGTAGGAGTGGGAGAGAGGGTCAGAATCGGACCAATCACTAGTGAGCCTGGGCAGAACTGTCATGGCATCAGTTGGGTAAACAGAATCACGTGTGTTCAGCGTTCCTACTCCCACCTGACCACACACACAAAGATGGCTAATGACCCGTGAGGAATATCCAAACCGCTGACATGGTGTGTGTGTTTGTGTGTGACATAATTACCTCTGAATGGGGTGAAGATGGTTTGTGTGTTCGTTCAAGAGTGGCAGGTAGCTTAGTGGGTAAGAGCGTTGTGCCAGTAACCGAAAGGTCGCTGGTTCTAATCCCCGAGCCGACTAGGTGAAAAATCTGTCGATGTGCCCTTAAGCAAGGCACTTAACCCTAATTGCTCATGTAAGTCACTCTGGATAAGAGCGTCTGCTAAATGACTAAAAATGTAAAATGTAAATGTTGTGTGTTTGTCTCTGACAGAGTGAGGATCTTCTTGGTGTATTGTGCATGTCCCTTCAGCTACGTAAACATGTGATGTGTGTGTGTGTGTGTGTGTGTGTGTGTGTGGCCTGCCTACCTCCAGCTGGGTAAAGATCTTCTTGATGTGTCGGTAGCAGCCCTCAGCGATGTCCAGGTCTTCTTCGTAGGAGCGACCGTGGAACACAGGCTGGGGGGCGTTGGAGAAATACTTGTGGAAGGGGAAGTGTGTAGCCACGGCCTCCGCCTCCACCGGCCGGCCCTGCTTACACCTGACCTTGGACATGTACTCTTCCCAACGAGACATCACCTGCAGCGGGGAGAGAGAGGACACCAGACAGCCTCCCTGGATGTTACAAGTCTGGCTCTTCACTCAAAGATAAATACAGTTGCGTCACATTCAAAGTAGGAATGGGTAATATATTTAATTAATGTTTTAGTGCGATATTCCAAATGCACCTATCACAAGAATCAAGTTTTGCTTTACACCAAGCCCCTCCCCCTGCCAACAACAAAAATGAGAGATAACTTCTTTGTGTCTGACAAGCGGTTTCAACTCCATATTTGCATTTGAGGTTTGGTCCAACAGAATAGGTCATATGGATACCGAAACGCATTGAGACATTGTTTTCCTGCAATAGAGGAGAAGTTAACCTTTCTAAAGACACCCTTTTTATGTCTCAATAAAACAGGAGTATCAATGAACATTGATTCTGGATAATAATGCTCAGTTTGTCGTGCGCAGCATTGCGGTACCATGTACCGCTAGCAGCATTTTAGCCAAAGACCTTTATACTAGCTGTCTAGACTGTGTTTATAAATGTGCAATAAGCATAAAGCACAATTATATAAGGAATTGGCAACTCATTCTCATAAGTAAGGTAAAGCAGTTGGAGACGGACAGAACTGTGTGTGCATAATAATGAAACTGTTCTACCTTGTTAGCTAGCAAATAGATCCAAGTTGGCTAAACATAAAATATATAGATTAGCTGGCTACTCACTAGCACATGGGCTTGTGCTTGAGAGATTGTTTGAGACCCGTGTTAATTTTCTATAATTCCTGCTACAAGAAGTTAGTCATTATTTGTTACAAAAAGGGCATTTTCATAGACTTGAAAGCCAGATCAGTGATTATTACAAAAAAAAGCAGGTTAAACTATTTTGATTTGTGGGTCTTATGGTTGTGGAAGGCTAATATTTAGCTTAGGTATAATTTCACAAGCCCTGAATTCATTCGATTATTGCTGACTGCTTGAAATGCAGTGTATTTGACCTTTAATTGTACAACAAAGCTTATTTTGAGAATTAAAACAAAAAACAAAATCTAGATATATCGTGAATCACACAAGTTTGAAAAAAATGGAGATATGATTTTTAGGCCATATCGCCCAGCCCTAACTCAAAGCGCATGCACGCTTCTTCATACGAACACACCCTTGGGATCACGTAAAGGGGCACAGTCATAGGCATAGATGAAAACACACACAGGCACGGTTGCGAAATAAAGAACGCAGCCTTAGGGAACTGTGGAACAATTTGCAATTTAATCAGTATTACAAATGGGGATGTAGCTTGGCCATCTGGCTTAATAGGCTACAACGATTAACAGAGACCATTATCCACCCCTGATATCATCCATCAGGACATTCTACTCTGCGCATTGCCAGGCCTATTGTCCAATCCCATTGAAGGTCTTAGAGTGATAAGGGAAGATAAAGTGGGAAGGGAGAAGAGGATAAATGTCCATCACTCTTCATCTGTGAGGAGTGCCCTGGCCTACACACCGATCTCTCATGTATAACCATTTATGACAATGTTATGGGAGTTGTCCATAATGTTGTGTTAGAAATCAGAAGGGAGACACCTGACTGGCATAGTGGATTTACACTGAACAAAAATATAAACGCAACATGTAAAGTGTTGATCCCATGTTTCATGAGCTGAAATAAAAGATCCCAGAAATGTGCTGTATAATCAGCCTCTTGATATGCCACAACTGTCAGCTGGATGGATTATCTTGGCAAAGGAGAAATGCTCACTAACAGGGATGTAAACACATGTATACACAACATCTAAGAGAAGTAAGCTTTTTGTGCGTATGGAACATTTCTGGGATCTTTTATTTCAGCTCATGAAACATGCGACCAACACTTTACATGTTGCGTTTATATTTTTGTATATGTACAGTGAGGGAAAAAAGTATTTGATCCCCTGCTGATTTTGTACGTTTGCCCACTGACAAAGAAATGATCAGTCTATAATTTTAATGGTAGGTTTGTTTGAACAGTGAGAGACAGAATAACAACCAAAAAATCCAGAAAAACACATGTCAAAAATGTTGAAAAATAAATTGATTTGCATTTTAATGAGGGAAATAAGTATTTGAACCCTCTCAATCAGAAAGATTTCTGGCTCCCAGGTGTCTTTTATACAGGTAACGAGCTGAGATTAGGAGCACACTCTTAAAGGGAGTGCTCCTAATCTCAGCTTGTTACCAGTATAAAAGACACTTGTCCAAAGAAGCAATCAATCAATCAGATTCCAAACTCTCCACCATGGCCAAGACCAAAGAGCTCTCCAAGGATGTCAGGGACAAGATTGTAGACCTACACAAGGCTGGAATGGGCTACAAGACCATCGCCAAGCAGCTTGGTGAGAAGGTGACAACAGTTGGTGCGATTATTCACAAATGGAAAAAACACAAAAGAACTGTCAATCTCCCTCGGCCTGGGGCTTCATGCAAGATCTCACCTCGTGGAGTTGCAATGATCATGAGAACGGTGAGGAATCAGCCCAGAACTACACGGGAGGATCTTGTCAATGATCTCAAGGCAGCTGGGACCATAGTCACCAAGAAAACAATTGGTAACACACTACGCCGTGAAGGACTGAAATCCTGCAGTGCCCGCAAGGTCCCCCTGCTCAAGAAAGCACATATACAGGTCAGTCTGAAGTTTGCCAATGAACATCTGAATGATTCAGAGGAGAACTGGGTGAAAGTGTTGTGGTCAGATGAGACCAAAATCGAGGTCTTTGGCATCAACTCAACTCGCCGTGTTTGGAGGAGGAGGAATGCTGCCTATGACCCCAAGAACACCATCCCCACAGTCAAACATGGAGGTGGAAACATTATGCTTTGGGGGTGTTTTTCTGCTAAGGGGACAGGACAACTTCACCGCATCAAAGGGACGATGGACGGGGCCATGTACCGTCAAATCTTGGGTGAGAACCTCCTTCCCTCAGCCAGGGCATTGAAAAAGGGTCGTGGATGGGTATTCCAGCATGACAATGACAACAAAGGAGTGTCTCAAGAAGAAGCACATTAAGGTCCTGGAGTGGCCTAGCCAGTCTCCAGACCTTAATCCCATAGAAAATCTGTGGAGGGAGCTGAAGGTTCGAGTTGCCAAACGTCAGCCTCGAAACCTTAATGACTTGGAGAAGATCTGCAAAGAGGAGTGGGACAAAATCCCTCCTGAGATGTGTGCAAACCTGGTGGCCAACTACAAGAAACGTCTGACCTCTGTGATTGCCAACAAGGGTTTTGCCACCAAGTACTAAGTCATGTTTTGCAGAGGGGTCAAATACTTATTTCCCTCAATAAAATGCAAATCAATTCATAACATTTTTGACATGCGTTTTTCTGGATTTTCTTGTTATTCTGTCTCTCACTGTTCAAATAAACCTACCATTAAAATTATAGACCGATCATTTCTTTGTCAGTGGGCAAACGTACAAAATCAGCAGGGGATCAAATACTTTTTTTCCTCACTGTACACTGAGTATACGAAACATTAGGAACACCTTCCTAATATTGAGTTGCACCTTTCTCCCTTTTGCCCTCAGAACAGCCTCAATTCGTCGGGGCATGGACTCTACAAGGTGCCAAAAGCATTCCACAGGGATGCTGGCCCATATTGACTCCAATGCTTCCCACAGTTCTGTCAAGTTGGCTGGATGTCCTTTGGGTGGTGGACCATTCTTGATACACACAGGAAACTGTTGAGCATGAAAAACCCAGCAGTGTTGCAGTTCTTGACACAAACATGTGCACCTGGTACCTACTACCATACCCCGTCAAAGGCACTTAAATCTTTTGTCTTGCTCATTCACCCTAAGAATGGCATACATACACAATCCATGTCTCAAGGCTTAAACATCTTTCTTTAACCAGTCTCCTCCCCTTCATCTACAGTGATTGAAGTGGATTTAACAAGTGACACAATAAGGGATGATAGGTTTCACCTGGATTCACCTTGTCAGTCTATGTCATGGAAAGAGCAGGTGTTCTTAATGTTTTGTACACTTAAGTGTGTAGCTAGATAGATGTCCTAGCCTACCTCTTTCAGGTAATACATCCAATGCAGTATTAGCCTTATATTTAGCTAATGAATGATGGGTTATGCATAAGCTTCTAACTTATAGCCTCTGTCTCTTGCGCAATACGCACCTGCGCTCCGCTGGCCTCTCTCCTTATAAAACGCTCCTTAGCTCTTGTAGTCCCATGAAAATCTAGACTAGAATAGCTTGCTGGACATTTTTGTTTTTGCATTTCTTATACTAATAGACCATTCGAAGAGGGATGCAAGCTCTTGTTTTCTACATGTTAAATACAGCAGCCAATTGAACTCACAGGGAGTTTCAAATCAAATCAAATTTCATTGGTCACATACACATATTTAGCAGATGTTATTGCAGGTGTAGCGAAATGCTTGTGTTCCTAGCTCCAACAGTGCAGTAGTATCTAACAATTCACAACAATACACACAAAGGGAGCAATGCCGGAGTGGCATTGACTAAAATACAGTAGAATAGAATACAGTACATCCATATGAAATGAGTAAAGCAGTATGTTAACATTATTAAAGTGACCAGTGATTCCATGTCTATGTATATAGGGCAGCAGCCTCTAAGGTGCAGTGTTGAGTAACCGGGTGGTAGCCAACTAGTGATGGCTTTTTAACAGTCTGATGTTTGAAAGAGAACTTGCGATGGCGGTAGGCTATCGCAGTTATTTGTTCAGACCCATAACCATTCAATCTCCGTGAAGAGAAATTACAGCCGTCTGCATCTTATTCTAGTCGTATATTATTCAAGCATGTCATTACAATGATGAAGGACAACTAAACTTATTTCATTTAACTGTTGAAGGGAGGAAGGAATGACGCAAGAGAGAAAGACGAGGTAAGCTAATATGCATGTTGCACAACAGTGGAAATATTATGAAAGGTATACATGTGTCAGCCTACTAACTATAAACATGTCAAATAAGCAATTTTATATTTCAAAATTAAACTAATTCGCTAGACCGTAATTGTAACTTTATTGGCCGCATGTTCTGCACCAGCATTACATGTTCTCTCCCAGCTTCATGGTTTGAACGAGGTGTGTAATTCCTGTCCATATAATTCAGTATAATACAATCAAGTACAGTAATTCAGTCCACACAAAAAGATTAGCCTACTGGAGCTAGTTTCATGTATTTACCCAAGAGAGCATATAGCTAGCTACATCTATGGGTTTTTATGTTTTCTGTCGTTTGTAATGTGCGGTAGCCTATATACAGTGGGGGAAAAAAGTATTTAGTCAGCCACCAATTGTGCAAGTTCTCCCACTTAAAAAGATGAGAGAGGCCTGTAATTTTCATCATAGGTACACGTCAACTATGACAGACAAATTGAGGAAAAAAAATCCGGAAAATCACATTGTAGGATTTTTAATGAATTTATTTGCAAATTATGGTGGAAAATAAGTATTTGGTCACCTACAAACAAGCAAGATTTCTGGCTCTCACAGACCTGTAACTTCTTCTTTAAGAGGCTCTTCTGTCCTCCACTCGTTACCTGTATTAATGGCACCTGTTTGAACTTGATATCAGTATAAAAGACACCTGTCCACAACCTCAAACAGTCACACTCCAAACTCCACTATGGCTAAGACCAAAGAGCTGTCAAAGGACACCAGAATCAAAATTGTAGACCTGCACCAGGCTGGGAAGACTGAATCTGCAATAGGTAAGCAGCTTGGTTTGAAGAAATCAACTGTGGGAGCAATTATTAGGAAATGGAAGACATACAAGACCACTGATAATCTCCCTTGATCTGGGGCAACACGCAAGATCTCACCCTGTGGGGTCAAAATGATCACAAGAACGGTGAGCAAAAATCCCAGAACCACACGGGGGACCTAGTGAATGACCTGCAGAGAGCTGGGACCAAAGTAACAAAGCCTACCATCAGTAACACACTACGCCGCCAGGGACTCAAAACCTGCAGTGCCAGACGTGTCCCCCTGCTTAAGCCAGTACATGTCCAGGCCCGTCTGAAGTTTGCTAGAGTGCATTTTGGATGATCCAGAAGAGGATTGGGAGAATGTCATATGGTCAGATGAAACCAAAATAGAACTTTTTGGTAAAAACTCAACTCGTCGTGTTTGGAGGACAAAGAATGCTGAGTTGCATCCAAAGAACACCATACCTACTGTGAAGCATGGGGGTGGAAACATCATGCTTTGGGGCTGTTTTTCTGCAAAGGGACCAGGACGACTGATCCGTGTGAAAACCTCCTTCCATCAGCAAGGGCATTGAAGATGAAACGTGGCTGGGTCTTTCAGCATGACAATGATCCCAAACACACCGCCCGGGCAACGAAGGAGTGGCTTCGTAAGAAGCATTTCAAGGTCCTGGAGTGGCCTAGCCAGTCTCCAGATCTCAACCCCATAGAAAATCTTTGGAGGGAGTTGAATGTCCGTGTTGCCCAGCGACAGCCCCAAAACATCACTGCTCTAGAGGAGATCTGCATGGAGGAATGGGCCAAAATACCAGCAACAGTGTGTGAAAACCTTGTGAAGACTTACAGAAAACGTTTGACCTGTGTCATTGCCAACAAAGGGTATAAAACAAAGTATTGAGAAACTTTTGTTATTGACCAAATACTTATGTTCCACCATAATTTGCAAATAAATTCAGTAAAAATCCTACAATTTGATTTTCTGGAATTTTTTTTCCCTCATTTTGTCTGTCATAGTTGACGTGTACCTATGATGAAAATTACAGGCCTCTCATCTTTTTAAGTGGGAGAACTTGCACAATTGGTGGCTGACTAAATACTTTTTCCCCCACTGTAAGATAAGCTATGTATTGGATAACGGCTCAATCATTTGGGCTTTTATGGGCTTGGGCAAATAAAATGTCTTTAATGTAGGGCTCATTTAATGTAGGGCTCATAAAATGTCTTTAATGTATGGCTCATTAAATGTCTTTAATGTATGGCTCATCAGGCTCAGGTAGCATCAGGCTTGAATTTTAATGCCGATCAAAGCACTAATCAAATACAGACATATTTATATACTTTAGAATGAACATTTGTAAAATACCGGGACAATATTCAACCCTACACCCCACTGTCTCCCTCCACTGTCTCCCCTCTACACCCCTCTGTCTTCCAGCCTCAGTGAGATATCCTCTCCACTCTTCTTGATTTCAGATCTGGGCTATTTTATGAGCTCTCTCTGGTCCTCTTAAATTGACAGTTGACTTGGGTTGTCTCCTCTTTGTTTAAAAAGCTATGTTGTCTATTCTGGGCCATTCTGCTGATGCATGCTGCCTGATCCATAACTGTCTGCTGTGGCATTTTTCCTGGAGTCGGTATTCGGTAATTAGGTGACAGAAATAAATGGAGGATATGGTATAATATTTTGGTATTTGCTGTCGAGGCGGATTTGAAGCGTTAGGAAGATACTGACACTTACTGCACTGGGATGAGATTGGCAGCATCTCACCCCCTTAAATTTTGTATTTTAGTGATACATTTTATTCCCAATTTTTGCAGGTCAGGATCAGGAATTACTGATTAATCTGGAAAATGCATTACCTTTACTCTACTGTCACACACATTCACATCTATTATCCCCAAACACACGCCCAATCCATCCCCCCCCTCCTGTACTGACCTGGTAGAGGTAGAAGTGTCCGGCGGTCTCACACGTGTAGGACACGTCTCCGGGGACGTCTAGACTCTCTTGCAGACGGCCCACCTCTCTGAGCAGCTCTAGCCTCCTGGCCAGCACGTAGTTCACACGCCCATACCTGAACACAACATATACCACATCCATCCATACATAGTTTACCCTTCAATACTTTAAGAAAGCAAACAACAGTATCAGTTCCATTTCAGTCAGTTGAATTGGACCATAGAAGGGCGGTTATATTCCTGGAACTCATTCCAACATCCAACCATTCTCTCATCGTACCTGGAGGCCTGGTACAGTATCAAACTAGTAACAACCACCCTATACAAACACCATTACGCCATATTCCTATGATGATAATAGCCCCAACCTTCCCTAAACATTGCCTGCCTCTCCATAGCCAGATTAGATTAGTCTCGTGATCTAAGGGTCAAATCACATCATTCTGAGGGGAAATGTTAATGTTGTGAGGAGAACTGAAGTCTAAACCTGTGACATCACAGCCTAGGGATATAGTTTCAAAACCCCAAAATATGTTTTCCATCACCCTTCATGCGCGAATAATGGATAAAATCAAATCTAAAGTTTAAGAACCCAAACTCAAAGCTGGCTATTAATAGTTTTGGTTGCTGAGGCGATGGGAGCGAATAGCCAGAAGGACCAAATTGCAGTCTTCACTAATACATGTAATAGCATTGATAAGGTATAACAGGCATTGCAGCTGCATTGGCCACTATTAAGTTGTCCGTTTCAATAGCTTAAAACATTTACACAAAAATAAAAGTTAAATGTTCATATTTTTAAACAAGGCTTAACTTACCTACACTTGTTACAATGACTGATATTGAATAAATACAGAGCTCAAAAATGACTGTCAAACAAAGAGTGTAAAATAAACACAATAGTTCGCTTTTCAACAAACTGAAAAGACAAAAACACAGAAAACAGAGTAATCTTTTGTCTAGTCAGGCGTCCCGGTGTGCTGCCACAACAAACCAGAAAGACGATTAGTGGGTGGCAGTGACACCTGGACATGCTATGTCCGATGTCACCCAAACACTGCTGTGCTGTGTGTGTGAGAGTGAAACTTTGTTGTTGTTTATTAAATGTTTTTTTACCGCTTTTTCTCCCTAATTTCGTGATATCCAATTGGTAGTTACAGTCTTGTCCCATCACTGCAACTCCTGTACGAACTTGGGAGAGGCGAAGGTCGAGAGCCATGCGTCCTCCAAAACACCACACTGCCAAGCCGCCCTGCTTCTTGACACGCTGCTCGCTTAACCCGGAAGCCAGCCGCACCAATGTGTCGGAGGAAACACCGTACAACTGCCGACCGTGTCAGCGGCCAAACCCTCCCTTAAACTGGACGACACTGGGCCAAATTGTGCGTCGCCTCATGGGTCTCCCGGTCGCGGCCGGCTGCGACACAGCCCGGGTTCGAACCCGAATCTGTAATGACGCCTCAAGCACTGCAGTGCCTTAGACCGCTGCGCCACTTGAGAGGCCCTTGAGAGTGAAACCTTAACTTTTAAATAGATCTCCTGCTAAGCCTCACAGCAGATGATTCATAAACAGAACTACACAGGCCGATGACGATCAAATAGAAAAAGTGGCTTGTTTCAAAAGCAGCCCTCTGCTCTCCCTTCCCAGGAGAGACTGCCAAATAAAGAGAGAAAACTGACCTTTTTTTAAGTCATGAAGAGCTTTCAACTTCCACAAAAGCGCTCTATATACCTCTGTCCTTCATATACTGTACACAGTATTTCAATACCTCGTTAAGGGGGGGGGGGGGGGGGGGGTATTTATAGCATTTTTATTTATTTATTAAAAGGCAATGTATTATATATTAATTTCACTATAAACTAACTTTGCTGACCATTGAGAAAAGAGAAGGCCTCTTCATTTTTCATCCCATAGCCTATACAGTACTGTGTTAATTAGTTTCCCCAGCTTTCTCCTTCCTTGTCATTGGACCGGAAGGAAGGAAGGAAGAAAGGAGTGAATGTTGATTCAGTCAGTGCGCATGTTGTAAACATCCTCCTCTTCCTCAGCCTCTCATCCTGGTACTGTAACTAGCTTTAGCTGATCTGCATAATGCAATGGTGCTCCTCCAGAGCCGTCACATCCACTCCTCATACAACTCACGCCATTCTCACTGGCTCTGCTCTACGCAACAAGGGGCCTGTGTTCAGTTGGCACGAAACAGGAGAAAACTTTCTGTTTTTAAACAGAAGAGTACCATATTGGAAGTCCTAATGCTAAGACTTTAGTGCGCTAAGGGTAAGTAGGGCCAGAATCGCTAGGGTTTTACAGCAACACAACTGAATCAACTGAATGTATATTTGTATCACTAGGCCTATTTGTTGTGGTTTCCATTGACATTCTTTGAGCTAAGATGGTTTCCTTTGGCTAAAGAAGATGTATCTGCAGACTCCTTGATGTTCAGGCTCTGACGTATGGCCTGAGGCTATTCATCCTGGATGTTTATACTTTTATAATCTGTCATGGGCAGACTACATACACGGTACTGTTTTTACATTTTTGTCATTTAGCAGACGCTAAAGTGCATACATTTATTTTCATACTGGCCCCATGTGGGAATCGAACCCACAACAATGGCGTTGCAAGCGCCATGCTCTACCAATTGAGCTACAGGAGGCGTGAGGTAATGAGCAGCATTAGTTCCGGTTCTTGGGTTTATCATCACTGGTTATTTGCACAAATCATGATTACTCAGGTACCTTTCGAATTTGGGGAAATTTGGCCCATAGACTTACCCGTAACTTGCAAAGAGAGAGTGTGGAGTTCTTCGTTCCGGTTCTGATTCTCGTTCTCTCTCTTCTCTTAACACTTATGGACCAAGAACTTAATCGAGCATCTGACCAATTACACAAGCCTTTGGCTCTGTGTTAACCGAGATTAGTACTTATATAGCCTGGGTCTCAAAGCTATAGTTAGTTCTTCTGACAGCAAGATCAAAGCTAGTGAAAACGGCTGCTGCATGAGCACTAAATAAATATTCAATGAAGTTGGAACTATTTTAGACCAAGGGCTCTATTTTGGTCTTTAAAGCAGACACAATAATAAATAACACATTTGAGGTGGTTCATGAAGTCATGGAAAAATAGCACAAGTTATATCACTCTACATATTTTGGGTATTTTAAGATCCATAGATTGCCCTCTTTCTCTCCCTTGCTCCCTCTTTCGGTCTCAGGTCTGGATTAAGTGGTTTCAGTATACTGGTTTCCCTCCCTCTCTTCAAGGTCTGTCTGTCTGGCTAGGTCTCTGAGTCACAGTCTCTCAAGGCATTGAACAGACACACATAGCCACAACCATATATAATTCCCCAAATTGCGTCAGTGTGAAATAATGGGTTTCCTAATTATTTCAGCCTTGTAGGAGGGTCTTTAACCCTGTGTTATAACCAGCATGAAGACCCAACCAGTTTTGGTTGCCCCTCGGCCCTATGACTAAAACTCTAAAGCAAAGTTCAGTGCTTCTACTGCCAAATGGGCCAGTAAGGCCCACACATAGCAAAATGTTGAGAGCACTAATCACGGTGAAATGGCTGGTGGAAAAAGAGAGAGAGAGAGAGAGAGAGAGAGAGAGTGTGTGTGTGTGAGAGAGTGTGAGTGAGTGAGTGGGTAGAGAGGGCGAGTGCAGCAGGCCATAATGAAGATAAAGCCATGACAGGGTCGAGTGTATGGGGGTATCGAATGGCCCTGTCAAATCAAATCAAATGTAATTCGTCACATGCTTCGTAAACAACAGGTGTTAACTAACAGTGAAATACTTACTTACGGGCCCTTCCCAACAATGCAGAGAGAATGAAAATAGAGAAATAATATAAAGTAAAACATAAAATAATAAAAGTAATAATAAATACACAATGAGTAACGATATTTTGGGTATATACACAGGGGTTACCAGTACCGAGTCGATTTGCAGGGGTACGAGGTAATTGAGGTAGATACACTACATGACCAAAAGTATGTGGACACCTGCTCGTCCAACATCTCATTCCAAAATCATGGGCATTAATATGGAGTTGGTCCTCCCTTTGCTGCTATAACAGCCTCCACTCTTCTGGGAAGGCTTTCCACTAGATGTTGGAACATTGCTGCGGGTACTTGCTTCCATTCAGCCACAACAGCATTAGTGAGGTCGGGCACTGATGTTGGGCGATTAGGCCTGGCTCACAGTTGGCGTTCCAATTCATCCCATAGGTTTTTTCGATGGGGTTGAGGTCAGGGCTCTGTGCAGGCCAGTCAAGTTCTTCCACACCGACCTCGACAAACCATTTCTGTATGGTCCTCGCTTTGTGCACGGGGGCATTTTCATGCTGAAACAGAAAAGGGCCTTCCCCAAACTGTTGCCACAAAGTTGGAACCACAGAATCGTCTAGAATGTCATTGTATGCTGTAGCGTATGATTTCCCTCCACTGGAACTAAGGGGCCTAGCCCGAACCATGAAAAACAGCCCCAGACCATTATTACCCCTCTAACAAACTTTACAGTTGGCACTATGCATTGGGGCAGGTAGTGTTCTCCTGTCATCCGCCAAACCCAGATTTGTCTGTTGGACATTGAGCTGAGCTCTCTTGAGCTCTTCAGTAAATCCATTCTACTACCAATGTTTGTGTATGGAAATTGCATGGCAGTCTGCTCGATTTTATACACCTGTCAGCAATGGGTGTGGCTGAAATAGCCAAACACACTAATTTGAAGGGGTGTCCACATACTTTTGTATATATAGTGTTTGTACATATAACTAGGAATAAAGTTACTAGGCAACAGGATAGATAATAAACAGTAGCAGCAGCGTATGCGTCAAAAAAAGTTAAATAGTTAACCAATAGCTACCCAGACTAACTATTTAGCAGTCTTATGGTTTGGCGGAAGAAGCTGTTCAGGGTCCTGCTGGTTGCAGACTTGGTGCATCGGTAGCAGAGAGAACAGTCTATGACTTAGGTGGCTGGAGTCTTTGACAATTCTGTTGGCTTAGACTTACTATGTGTGTGGCCAGCTGGGTATACTGTTCACTGTATGTATGTGTACTGCATGTGTGTAGCTGGTTGTGTGGTCAAATAGCTGTATGTGTGTGTTCAATTGGGCATGTGTAGTTTTGTGTGTGTGTGTGTGTGTGTGGTCAGCTAGGAATGTGTAACTTAATGTGAGTATGTGTTCATTTGGTTGTGTGTGAGAGAGGGAGGTAGAGACGTGTGTGTGTACATTGAAGTCACCTGCTGAAGTCTTTCTCAGTCTCCAGTGCTTCTTCTCCGTGGCCCATACGCAGGAGGTGACGCTCGTCTATGTCCAGAGCCATGATCTTCTCAAACAACTGGTTCAGAGCCTGGAACACACAGAACAGAGGTGAATGTCCGTCCACCCACCCACCAAACCACACGCCTTACTGTGTTGCAGTGAACAGAAAGAGAACACAAGGCTTCCTACAGGTCCTATTGAAAAGCCTTCAGTGTTGGATGGTAGACTTTATATTGGGGCTAATTCAGCATAATAATGATATAACACCACAGTATGACAAACAGAAATGGGGGAGGGAAATTGTGATGACAATAAATGCAGACATTTCATAAATATCTTCAGTTATGTTAGAGGCCCACTGCCAGTCGGCTGTCGTAGCATTAAAATACAGCTAGATTACTTTTGATTAAATACTGAGATGAGGAGACTGGGGCACAGGGGAGCAACACTTTTAACATTTTCCCTCTGTGATTTTAGGTCGGATTTCTCAGTGATTAATGGCACCATTTTAGGGCAGATTGGTGAATTCCTCCAGCAACTCCAGAAAAAGCTTCCAACGTGATATTTTTACTACTATATTGGCCATATCGATGGACAAAGGGGCCAAGTATTTCCCAGAAGTTACTTTGGTTACATGACTATGACTGATGGTTTTCGTATCCAGTAAATTAACATTGGCGTTATCCAGGTGTTTCCTACCTGGTTGGAGTGTGTGACTATGAGGGTTCTTTGCTCAGGGAAGTTGTGGTAGAGATTGGAGATGATCTGGACGGCCAGATCCGTCTTTCCAGTACCTGGAGGACCCACCACCTTGAGAGAGCGAGTGAGGGAGGAGGGATAGAGAGAGAACATGAGAGGAGGTAGAGAGAGAAAGTACAAGGAGGAGAAAATGGAGAAGGTTGGTTAGATAACAGAAAAGGAGAGCACAGTGGTTCTGTCTCACACACACACACACACAGTGTGTGTGTTTCCCCCTCAGTGCATCAGACAGGACCTGTGTGTGTGTAGGGCTAAGGTGAACTGCTTGGCATGCAAGGTCATCCTCCCTGCACACACAGAGAAACACGGAGAGAGAACAAATAAAACCAGAGTACATATGAAACTCTTTCCATCGGCTCCTTGACCTTCATTAGGTCTAGTTAAGGCTGTAGAGATCATTGGTCTAGTTAAGGCTGTAGAGATCATTATGTCTAGTTAAGGCTGTAGAGATCATTGGGTCTCGTTTAAGGGGGGGGCTGTCTGTAGAGATCATTATGGTCTAGGTTAAGGCTTTTTGTAGGTAGAGTCATTGGGTCTAGGTTAAGGCTGTAGGTAGAGATCATTGGGTTCTAGTAGGCTGTAGAGATCCTTGGGTCTCGTTAAGCTGTAGAGATCATTATGTATAGTTAAGGTGTAGCGATCATTGGGTTTCTAGTTAAGGCTTAGAGATCATATGGTCTAGTTTAAGGCTGTAGAGATCATTTGGGTCTAGGTAAGGTGTACGAGATGCATTATGGTCTCGTTAAGACTGTTAGGAGAATCATATGGTCTAGTTAAGGGCGGTAGAGATCATGGGTCTAGTTAAGGCTGTAGAGATCATTGGGTCTAGTTAAGGCTGTAGAGATCATTGGGTCTAGTTAAGGCTGTAGAGATCATTGGGTCTAGTTAAGGCTGTAGAGATCATTGGGTCTAGTTAAGGCTATAGAGATCATTGGGTCTAGTCTAGAGCTATCACCTTCCTCAAACAAACACCACTAGGAAAGACTAATAAACAAGCTATTTTTATTTCCATTTTCATCAGGGCTTTCCCAGGGCAGAAGGTGCTCACAGACTAGTGGAGGCTAAAACATGACGGTATATTCATAAAACATTTAGCCACCGTACACCTCAGGTAAGTCACATAAAAGCCAGTCTACTTTATACACTAGAGACCCAAACACAGAATAACAACTATAAACCTAAAAACAGCTCAAGATGATAAAAGAAGCCTGGGACTGGGAGACTGTCTTGGCTGCTAACGATTGTCCCCACACATGCCAGTGAGTGGTTTGTGTGTGTGTGTGTGTGTGTGTGTGTATGTAGAGTTGTTTTACGACTGTGCTGATAGCCAAGCTGCCATATTTACTCCCCAGCAGCCACCCAATAAATACCAGACAGATCCCTCTGCCAGCTACCAATCACCAGGCCAGGAATGAGCTTCATCAAAGCAAGGCAGGAGTGTGTGTGTGTTAGTGAATGTGTGTTTCTGTAGATGAGACGCTGTGTGTGCGACTTTGCAAGACAGCTGTGTGTGTGTGTGTTACTGAATGTGTGTGTTTCTGTGGATGAGAGGCTATGTGTTTGCGAGGCAGCTGTGTGTGTGTGTGTGTTACTGAATGTGTGTGTTTCTGTGGATGAGAGGCTGTGTGTTTGCGAGGCAGCTGTGTGTGTGTGTGTTACTGAATGTGTGTGTTTCTGTGGATGAGAGGCTGTGTTTGCGCAAGGCAGCTGTGTGTGTGTGTGTTACTGAATGTGTGTGTTTCTGTGGATGAGAAGGCTGTGTGTTTGCGAGGCAGCTGTGTGTGTGTGTGTTCTGAATGGTGTGTTTCTTGGTGAGAAGCTGTGTGTTTGCGAGGCAGCTGTGTGTGTGTGTGTTACTCGAATGTGTGGTGTTTCTGTGGATGAGAAGCTGTGTGTTTGCGAGGGCAGCTGTGTGTGTGGTGTGTTACTGAATGTGTGTGTTTCTGTGGATGAGAGGCTGTGTGTTTGCGAGGCAGCTGTGTGTGTGTGTGTTACTGAATGTGTGTGTTTCTGTGGATGAGAGGCTGTGTGTTTGCGAGGCAGCTGTGTGTGTGTGTGTTACTGAATGTGTGTGTTTCTGTGGATGAGAGGCTGTGTGTTTGCGAGGCAGCTGTGTGTGTGTGTGTTACTGAATGTGTGTGTTTTCTGTGGATGAGAGGCTGTGTGTATGCTCGCCATCGGCACCATTTAAGTTAATTTAGCGGAGGGCCTTTCAGGGCAGTATTTCACTAATCGGGCCTGACTGAGATCTGCAGGAGTGATGGGGATTGGAACACTAAATAACTCCATCTTACTAGTGACTGGGGGAAGGTCCTAGCCAGTCCCCTGCGTCAGGCAGAGTGGTTACAAATCCTCACCTCTTCAAGCAGCCAGGGCCAATAATACACCTGTCATAGGTAGCCAACATCCGACTCTGGGCTATGAGTGATTGAAAAACACAGTTTAACTAAAGAGCCAATGGATAGGAGACTTCAGTTGTTGCTCAAACTTTTAATGCTACCCGTCTATTGCCTTGGTTTACTCAAGTGGCTAGATATGAGTATTCAATTTAGTGTTTGTTTTTTCATCCAAAAGCTTTTTGACAGACAAGTTTGATCTTCACAATATATTAAATTATGAAACTCAATATCATCAATGGTTCTTATGACCAGTATGAGTTCAGTTTATTGTATTAGTATACAAACGTCAGTTGCAAACAAGAGGTAAACATAAGACAGTAAATGTTCTTACCATAGTGAGTCCAGGCTGCATTCCAGCACGGACGGCCTCAATCTGAGTTGGTGTAAACTGGATGGTATTTCTGTTCAAACACACAAAGTTATCACTCACAGTTAGAGGTTTTAAGGAATATGTTGAAAACTTGAGAAGAAAAAAGAGAGCTGTTTTCAACCAGCTCTGTGGCAATTAGTGATGGGGGAAAAAAATAAGATAGTTACATATCGCAACATTATTTTGGACGATATTATATCAATAATTTGACTCCAAGTATCGATTTGAATTTGTTTTTTTATAAAGAAAAAAATGTCTTTCTTTTTGCCAGGTAGAATTAGCTAGCGCTAGCTGGCTGAACCTGCGCCAGAACTCTGGTATTTTTCATCCTATAGTTTGTTCTCCATCTTGTTTTTAAATAGTGAGCCAACATGTTTTCACTTTTATGACACATTTTTGACTGATCAAAACACATTCTTCTCATGCTCTCTTGTCGCTCATCAGCAGACATATAGTGAGCAATATGTTTGGAACATCAAACAAAAATCCAGAAAATCACATTGTATGATTTTTAAGTAATTCATTTGCATTTTATCGCATGACATAAGTATTTGATACATCAGAAAAGCAGAACTTAATATTTGGTACAGAAACCTTTGTTTGCAATTACAGAGATCACACATTTCCTGTAGGACCTGACCAGGTTTGCACACACTGCAGCAGGGATTTTGTCCCACTCCTCCATACAGACCTTCTCCAGATCCTTCAGGTTTCGGGGCTGTCGCTGGGCAAGATGGACTTTCAGCTCCCTCCAAAGATTTTCTATTGGGTTCAGGTCTGGAGACTGGCTAGGCCACTCCAGGACCTTGAGATGCTTCTTACGGAGCCACTCCTTAGTTGCCCTGGCTGTGTGTTTCGGGTCGTTGTCATGCTGGAAGAACCAGCCACGACCCATCTTCAATGCTCTTACTGAGGGAAGGAGGTTGTTGGCCAAGATCTCTCAATACATGGCCCCATCCATCCTCCACTCAATACGGTGCAGTCGTCCTGTCCCCTTTGCAGAAAAGCATCCCCAAAGAATGATGTTTCCACCTCCATGCTTCACGGTTGGGATGGTGTTCTTGGGGTTGTACTCATCCTTCTTCTTCCTCCAAACACGGCGAGTGGAGTTTAGACCAAAAAGCTCTATTTCTGTCTCATCAGACCACATGACCTTCTCCCATTCCTCCTCTGGATCATCCAGATGGTCATTGGCAAACTTCAGACGGGCCTGGACATGCGCTGGCTTGAGCAGGGGGACCTTGCGTGCGCTGCAGGATTTTAATCCATGACGGCGTAGTGTGTTACTAATGGTTTTCTTTGAGACTGTGGTCCCAGCTCTCTTCAGGTCATTGACCAGGTTCTGCCGTGTAGTTCTGGGCTGATCCCTCACCGTCCTCATGATCATTGATGCCCCACGAGGTGAGATCTTGCATGGAGCCCCAGACGGAGGGTGATTGACCGTCATCTTGAACTTCTTCCATTTTCTAATAATTGCGCCAACAGTTGTTGCCTTCTCACCAAGCTGCTTGCCTATTGTCCTGTAGCCCATCCCACCCTTGTGCAGGTCTACAATTTTATCCCTGATGTCCTTAAACAGCTCTCTGGTCTTGGCCATTGTGGAGAGGCTGGAGTCTGTTTGATTGAGTGTGTGGACAGGTCTTTTATACAGGTAACGAGTTCAAACAGGTGCAGTTAATACAGGTAATGAGTGGAGAACAGGAGGGCTTCTTAAAGAAAAACTAACAGGTCTGTGAGAGCCGGAATTCTTACTGGTTGGTAGGTGATCAAATACTTATGTCATGCAATAAAATGCAAATGAATTACTTAAGTCATACAATGTGATTTTCTGGATTTTTGTTTTAGATTCCGTCTCTCACAGTTGAAGTGTACCTATGATACAAATTACAGACCTCTACATGCTTTGTAAGTAGGAAAACCTGCAAAATCGGCAGTGTATCAAATACTTGTTCTCCCCACTGTACATGTAGAACTGTGAAAATAGCAATACATACAGGCACCAAAGTATCGTGATAATATCGTATCGTGAGGTCCCTAGCAATTCAAAGCTCTGTGGTGATGTGTTTTGAAACCCTCATGAACAATGTTTCAGTTAAGGGACCAGAGGAGTTGCTGTTACCTAACAGGATTTCATTATCAAAGCGCAACTGAAGAAGCTAAGTTACCATCAGATCAGATTAATGCAAATTTAATTAACTAAAAACCCTTTAATTTCTGTTCAGTTATGATTAAGATTGATATGATTAAGATAAACAACCTAATCTGTTTTGATCTACTTTGCTACAGGGCTAAAATGTCAGGAAATAACCTAACCAAACAGAACCAGCAAAACATTACACTGCAATCAGCACAAATACCCAGAGCTCACGCTAACACAGCAAAACAAAACACACCAACCTGAATAAATAGGAATCAGTATAAAATGTCTGACAGAAACGTCAACATTTTAGAGCATTGCGTTTAACAGAGCAGAGGTTGTTTTTGCTCTAGGTGGGAAGGTTTGCTCAGTAAGTGTCCTCAAAGCATTCACTAGTTGGGCTAAATTTGGTGCAGGCAGGCACGTTAGTGGTGGAAACACACAGGCCCTGAGAGGAGGCTAAACAAAAGGTGGGTGAGACTTGACTGGCTATAGAGAGAACAAGGACTTGACCTCTCTGCGGTGCCAAGTTTGCCCAAGCACTGCAAGGGCTCCTGACCTCTACTGGTTGACCCGGGAACCTGGACCCTCACCGTTTGGGCTGGTTGTAGGGGTAGGGCCCCCGGTTGGGTGTGACATGAGGCTCCACTATAAGCGTTTTGTCTTTCCTCCTTTTTCTCCTCCTCTTCATCCGAGTCTGCTTTCCTCTTCTTGCCTTTGTCGGCCCTGTTCTGCACAGGGAACTTGATTCTAGGGTTGGGAAAAGAGAAGAAGGTTGAAAGATATGTTGCAGTTGGACCACATAAGACAATAACCCCAACCCTACTCCATCTGAACTTTGACCTCTGACCTGAAGGGGGGTATCAGCAGCTCAGGGTTGTCCTCAGTGACCTTGACGGTGTAACCAGGGAAACAGGACCTCAGGTGGTCTATGGACAGGAAGGTGTCATTGAAGTCCAGGGAGGAGATCTGATTGTGTATCTTGGAGTAGTGGGCGGAGCCCGTGTTGCCGTAGCCCAGGATGATGTCATGGAGCCATTCTGGGACCACACACTAAGTGTTCATCAGGTTCCTGATCGTCTCCAGGACAGCCTGGTGGACAAAACAAGGGGTGGAGAAAATGATCAGATATCAAATGGTTAATATGTACCAAAATCTGATCAAATGTGAAAAAAAGAGACTTGCCTGCATGTCAATCACATTTTAATGAGTTTTCAACTATGTGATATCCTGTGTGTGAAATACTTGAACATCTTCCTTTTCATTTCATTTTGTGAAATGTAAAAAACAAAACATTTCTTCTATCAAAGCATTGATGGGATTTTGAAATGACAGTAATGAGCTTGTGTTAGGGCTGCACAATACGGGCAAAACAGCTAATTGTGTTTTTTTTTTTTTTACTGCGATTGCGATTTGACTTGCAATATGTTAAAAACATTTTGGTGATCTGTTGGAACCATAGTTACTATTCTATTCTAATTATACAGTTGGAATAGATTGGGCACTTAGAATAGAGAGTTATTTGGCATGACAACAGATTAAAAAGCCAGGGAGGAGTTTGTTGTGACAGGGTAGGAACCAATATGTTGGTATGTGTTTCCCAGGGGACAATATTTAGAATTGAATAGATGTTATTTAGGACAAAGACTTCAGAATATGCTTAGTTATTCCTCTCTGATTCAGAACATGCCATAGCACAAACATGACTTTTTCAACATTTTGCTACGTTACAGCCGTATTCTAAAATTGATTAAATTAATTTTTTCCTCATCAATCTACACACAATAGCCCATAATGACAAAGCAAAAACAGGTTTTTAGAAATATCACATTTACATAAGTATTCAGAGCCTTTAATCTTTACTTTGTTGAAGCACCTTTGGCAGCGATTACAGCCTCAAGTCTTCTTGGGTATGACGCTAAAAGCTTGGCACACCTGTATTTGTGGAGTTTTCGATCAGGTTCAAGTCCGGGCTCTGGCTGGGCCACTCAAGGACATTGAGACCTGTCCCGAAGCTATTCCTGCGTTGTCTTGGCTGTGTGCTTAGGGTTGTTGTCCTGTTGGAAGGTGAACCTTCGCACCAGTCTGAGATCCTGAGCGCTCTTGAGCAGGTCTCCTCCAGACGTGACGCTGGACATTCAGGCCAAAGAGTTCAATCTTGGTTTCATCAGAAATGAGAATCTTGTTTCTCATGGTCTGAGTCTTTTGGCAAACTCCAAGGGGGCTGTCATTTGCCTTTTATTGAGGAGTGGTTTCTGTCTGGCCACTCTACCATAAAGGCCTGATTGGTGGAGTGCTGCAGAGATGGTTGTCCTTCTGGAAGGTTCACCCATCTCCACAGAGAACCTCTGAAGCTCTGTCAGAGTGACCATCGGGTTCTTGATCACCTCCCTGACCAAGGCCCTTCTCCCCTGATTGCTCAGTTTGGCCGGGCGGCCAGCTCTAGGAAGAGTCTTGGTGGTTCCAAACTTCTTTCATTTAAGAATGATGGAGGCCACTGTGTTCTTGGGGACCTTCAATGCTGCAGACATTTTTGGGTATTCTTCCCCAGATCTGTGCCTCGACACAATCCTGTCTCGGAGCTCTACGGACAATTCCTTTGACCTCACGGCTTGATTTTTGCTCTGACATGCACTGTCAACTGTAGGACCTTATATAGACAGGTGTGTGCCTTTCCAAATCCTTCCCAATCAATTGAATTTACCACAGGTGGACTCCAATCACGTTGTAGAAACATCTCAAGGATGATCAATGGAAACAGGATGCACCTGAGCTCAATTTCGAGTCTCATAGCAAAGGGTCTGAATACTTATGTAAATTAGGTATTTCAGTTTTTTATTTTGAATATATTTGCAAAAACATCTAAAAACCTGTTTTCGCTTTGTCATTATGGGGTATTGTGTGTAGAGTGATGAGGCAAAAAATTAATTTAATCAATTTTAGAATAAGACTGTAACGTAACAAAACGTGGAAAAAGTCAAGGGGTCTGAATACTTTCCGAATGCACTATACCAACACTGTATTAGAGCTAAAGTTTGCTAACCAGATTTGCCCTTTCTCAGTTAACTAGTTAGTATTAGTGGCTAACGCAAAAAAAAAATATTTGGACTTGTGCAGCTTGCTAAGACTAACAAGCATTTTGCAGATAGGAAGATAAACTAATAGTATAATAAAGAAAAAATTGATTTATATTAGGAAAGCAAAGTGGAAAAGTAGAATCATTCTTGTTTACAGTTTTGACTGTGCATGCATTGTATGCAGAGTGAATTTACAGTGATAACTGCTGCCATGCTTGAATAAGTGACAGGGGGCAGGGCTTGGTGTGTGTGGGGAAGCAGCCTGTAGGAGAGAGGGAGAGAGACAGCAAAAGGAGTAAACTATGAAAACTGACTTTACACGCGGTTGAGTGGCGTTTTAAAATATCGCAAAAATATGGATCTCTTGCAATATGGATAATGCACATACAGCGAATGTAGAAAACATTAGGAACGCTCTTTCCATTACAGACTGACAAGGTGAATCAAGGTGAAAGCTATGATCCCTTACTGATGTCACCTGTTAAATCTACTTCAATCAGTGTAGATGAAGGGGAGGAGACCAGTTAAAGAAGGATTTTTAATCCTTGAGACAATTGAGACATGGATTGTGTATGTGTGCCATTCAGAGGGTGAATGGGCAAAATAAAATATTTAAGTGCCTTTGAACGTGGTATGGTAGTAGGTGCCAGGTGCACCAGTTTGAGTGTGTCAAGAGCTGCAATGCTGCTGGGTTTTTCCATTCTCAACAGTTTCCCGTGTGTATCAAGAATGGTCCACCAACCAAAGGACATCCAGCCAACTTGACAACTATGGGAAGCTTTGGAGTCAACATGGGCCAGCATCCCTGTGGAACGCTTATGACACCTTGTAGAGTCCACGCCCCGATGAATTGAGCCTGTTTTGAAGGCAAAAAGGGGGGGCAACTCAATATTAGGAATCTGTTCCTAATGTTTTGTACACTCAGTGTATATTGCAATTTCAATGTACATTCGATAAATCGTGCTGCCCTAGCTTGTTTGCACGTCAAATTGACAGTAAGGGTCTGAAATTACATTTACCTACTTGAAACGACACTCAACATATAAAACACACATTCTTTCAAGCTCTTTAAAGGGGCTAAAACGCTGAGAAATAAAACCAAGATAGTTAGTAGCTACATTTCAATTTCCAAGATAAGTGGCGCTCTTAGCCATCTCTGCCAGCAGCAGCCTCCTCCGGTAGCGCAACCTGATCTAACAGAATGTGCATCGTACTACAGGCGTGCCTCCAGAGATGGATGACTAGAGAGACGAAGGGAAGGTCACCCTCAGCCTCTATCTAGGGTCAGTGGGGTTGGATCAGGGGCCTTGAGCTGGAGGTAATCCTGGATCACACTAAGGCTCTCAGCACCCAGACGGAGCAGTCTGAGTGATTGATCAGCCAGGGGTGGGGTGGAGTAGGGGGTGGAAAAATCAAGGCCTGGGGGCTGTGCTCAAATAAAGGGAGGGATGAGGGAAGGGTAAGAGGGAAGAAGCAATGGATGGATGGAAGGTGAGAGGTAATATGAAGAGAAGGAAGAAGGGAAGGAGGGAGGGATATAGAAAATACTAAAGGTTGTCTGGGTCATGTTTAATGTGCAGTAATACAGTCCTCCCCACTAACCTTGAAGTTGTTCTCCTTGGGTTTGCGTCTCATGATGATGTTGAAGGACTCATAGGGGTCCTCAGTGCCATTCTGGATGCTGATGGTCATGTCCTGCTGGTACTGGTTAGGGTCCAGCCACACTCTGAACGTCCTGGTGTCTCCTCTCAGCTTGGGCTTGGGGTCAGGGCCTGGGGAATAGGAGAGGGACAACACATGGTCATTGTAGTCCATTATGATACAGATTGCACAAAGAAAACTTAAACCTGTACATTTCCAGCTAGAATAGGATAGCAGAAAAAAAAGGGAATTCAAGAAAAAAATATGACATGATTATTAATTTTAAAGGTTTAATATTTGAAGCTATTGATTTTAGCCTTCAATAATTTTTCGAAGCATTACTCTTTGCTAGAACAACTTACACTGAGTGTACAAAACATTAGGAACACCTGCTCTTTCCATGATAGACTGACAAGGTGAACCCTATGATCCCTTATTGATGTCACCTGTTAAATCCACTTCAAATCAGTGCAGATGAAGGGGAGGAGACCAGTTAAAGAATAACTTTGTGTATATCATCTCATGGTAGCTACAGTCAGCTAGTGTTGTATGGTTTGGAGGGGGGGGAACAGGAATGCAAAGCAGACTCTTATGCTATGCTTCCACAAGAGATCCACATCCACTCCGCGACATCGTGTCATGACTGACCAATCGAAGTTCACTATAGTTTCCAGCCCCTACTGGATTGGCTGTTGATACCTAGCACTACCTAGCCTGCTTGCTAGCACCAACATGAGGGTGAAGCAATTGGTGGCTATCCGAATGTACTTGTTAAAAGGCCGTTAGTGATCGTGTGACATGCAACTCAACTAATCCCGGAATACAAAATTAATTTGGAGGTTTAATTAATTCTCAAGATTGTATCTACTATCCAATACATGACTAGTAGACACTAATGATGTATGGTGGGTATATGAGCCTGGCAATGTTCATAGTTTATGTAACAACCAAGGGGAGGGAGGGAGGGAGAGAGGGAGAGAGGGAGAGAGAGAGAGGGAGAGAGGGAGAGAGAGAGAGCGAGAGAGAAAGAGAGAATGATCGAGAGCGCAAAAGAAAGATGGAGCAAGAGAAATGAAAGAGAGGACCACTGTCCTTGAAATCAGAGAGCATTAGCTACATTGGCCAGACCCCCCCCCCAAAATGCCAGCCCATTTTAGAAGACATCGTATGCCTATAATTTCATAAATGCCAGGGCATCTTCCCTGGTCCCCGAGACAGCTAAGCTATCCTGGTCCAGGCTACTCATCTCCCATCTCAGCAACAAGACCCATTACATTCTCATGTGTCTCGCACACACAGGCCAGAGGCTTTAGACTGATTCCCATTGGAAGCCTCTGTGTGAGTTTGTGTGTCTCGCATTTCACAAACATTTAAATGGGATTCTTGCATGATGCCATAGTACAGAGCCCTGGTGGTGAAACAAGCCAGGTGGCCTCTGACCCATGCATTTCCTTTAAATCCGCTCTACTAAAACGAGTGTGGTGCGATTGACGGATGAGTGGGTGGAAGGAGGGCACTAAACCCACTGTGATAACAGGCTGAGGACAGCTGGAGAGCCAAGCAGGCAGGCAGGTAGGCAGACAGGTAGCCCGGCAGGCAGGTAGGCAGGCAGGTAGCCCGGCAGGCGGGCAGGTAGCCATTAGGGAAAAGTAGCCAAAATCAGATTGAGGTGTTTGTATCTTTGAGCTCATTCCAGCTTTACTTCACCTAGTTTCACAGTTTATAGCAAGTTTGGCCAGGCCAAAAAGCCCCCTTGTATAATAGCTTTTAAATCTCAATGGAGTTGCTGAGTAAATGGAGGATAAATAAATAAATCAAAATGATGGTGCCACTTCACACAAAGCGCCCGGCGATACATGTGACATGATTGTCCGTGTCTCGGCCCTGTGGGCATCTGAAAGTTTAAACAGCACTAGGCAACAGCACTAGGCTCGTTACTACATACACCCTGGCCCAGTTAGCACCACTCTCTACATTTTTAATACAGTGGGAATATGGAGAGGAGAGAAGCAAGGGGACATAGTGGTTTGGTAGAGGTACACACCACCACATGTTCAGACAGGAGGAAGGAACACTTAGGATACCATGTCTGGAGGTTAACCTGATATTATATCCAGTCCAATAAACATCTCTGAGCTCTGCCGGTGGAAGAGGAAGGCTCTGGGTACAAGTTGCCTGTTGTAGGCGCAGATCTAGGACCAGCCAACCCAACAACAGATCTAGGACGAGCTAACCCACCCCACCTACAGATCTAGGACCAGCCAACTTACCCCACCTACAGATCTAGGACCAGCCAACCTACCCCACCTACAGATCCAGGACCAGCTAACCCACCTACAGATCCAGGACCAGCTAACCCACCCCACCTACAGATACAGGACCAGCTAACCCACCTACAGATCTTAGACCATCTAACCCACCTACAGATCTAGGACCAGCTAACCCACCTACAGATCTAGGACCAGTTAACCCACCTACAGATCCAGGACCAGCTAACCCACCCCACCTACACATCTAGGACAAGCTAACCCACCCCACCTACAGATCTAGGACCAGCTAACCCACCTACAGATCTAGGACCAGCTAACCCACCTACAGATCTAGGACCAGCTAACCCACCTACAGATCTAGGACCAGCTAACCCACCTACAGATCTAGGACCAGCTAACCCACCTACAGATCTAGGAACCAGCTAACCCACCTACAGATCTAGGAAACCAGCTAACCCACCTACAGATCTAGACCAGCTACCCCTACGTCTAGACGACAACCCACCTACAGATCTAGGACGAGCTAACCCACCCCACCTACAGATCCAGGAACCAGCTAACCCACCTACAATCTAGGACGAGCTAACCCACCCCACCTACAGATCTAGGACCAGCCAACCTACCCCACCTACAGATCTAGGACCAGCCAACCGACCCCACCTACAGATCCAGGACCAGCTAACCCACCCCACCTACAGATGTAGGACCAGCTAACCCACCTACAGATGTAGGACCAGCTAAGGACCAGATAACCCACCTACAGATCCAGGACCAGCTAACCCACACCTACAGATCGACAGCTAACCAGATCTAGACATAACCCACCACAGATCCAGGACCAGCTAACCCACCTACAGATCTAGGACCAGCTAACCCACCTACAGATCTAGGACCAGCTAACCCACCTAGATTAGAAACCAGCTAACCCACCTACAGATCTAGAAACCAGCTAACCCATCTACAGATCTAGGAACCAGCTAACCCACCTACAGATCTATAAACCAGCTAACCCACCTACAGATCTAGGACCAGCTAACCCACCTACAGATCTAGGACCAACTAACCCACCTACAGATCCAGGAACCAGCTAACCCACCTACAAATCTAGAGACGCTAACCCACCCCACCTACAGATCTAGGAACCAGCAACTACCCACCTACAGATCTAGGAACCAGCCAACCGACCCCACCTACAGATCCAGGACCAGTTAACCCACCCCACCTACAGATCCAGGAACAGCTAACCCACCTACAGATCTTGGACCAGCTAACCCACCTACAGATCCAGGACCAGCTAACCCACCTACAGATCTAGGAACCAGCTAACCCCATACAGATCTAGGACAGCAACCACCTACAGATCTGGACAAGTCCCACTACAGTTCTAGATACCAGAACCCACCTACAGATTAGGAACAGCAACCACACGTAAATCTAGGACAGCAACCCCCTACAGTCAGGACCAGCTACCAACTACAGATTAGGACAGCTAACGACTACAGATCTAGACCAGCTAACCCCGATCTAGAACCAGTACCCACGTAAAATCTAAAACAGTAACCCACACAATCTGACGAGCAGACCTCAGATTGGATGGCTACCCACCCCCTAACAGTATCCATGGAACAGCTAACCCACAACAGATCTAGGACAGCTTACCCCACCACATTGGACCACCAACCTGACCCCAACCTACAGATCTAGGACAGCACCGACCCTACGGATCAGGACCAGCTAACCCACCCCACGACAGTGTGGACCAGCTACACCTTCAGTGTATGGACAGCTAAGGGACAGATCTGGACCAGCTAACCCACCTACAGATTAGGACCAGCCCAACAGAGCGCTAACCCACCTACAGATCTAGGACCAGTTAACCACCTACAATCCCCATAACCCACCTACAGATCTAGGACAGCTAACCCACTACAGAATTGACCAGCTAACCCACTACAGATTAAGCCACCAACCCACCTACAGATCAGGACCAGCTAACCACTACAGATCTAGGACCATAACCCACCTACAGATCTAGGAACCAGCTAACCCACCACCTAAGACAGCTAAACCATCTAACCCTAACCCACCTAAGATCTAGGACACAGCTAACCCACCTACAGATCTAGGACAACCCAACCCACCTACAGATCTAGGACAGCCAACCCACCTACAGATCTAGACCAGAACCACACAGCTAACCCACCTACACAGATCCAGGAACCAGCTAACCCACCTACAGATCTAGGACCAAGCTAACCCACCTACAGATCTAGGAACCAGCTAACCCACCTACAGATCTAGGAACCAGCTAACCCACCTACAGATCTAGGACCAGCTAACCCACCTACAGATCTAGGACCAGCTAACCCACCTACAGATCTAGGACCAGCTAACCCATCTACAGATCTAGGACCAGCTAACCCATCTACATTGGTAGGGGAAATGCAAAACTAACCTTGGATCCACATTGAGGGGTTTCATGTCCGAAAGTCTCCTTTGAAAGCCAAACCACAGGGGAAATAAGACATGGCAAGCCCAGTCACAGCTTCAATAGGATGGATTTGAGACTATGGCTGTCATGGTATTCTGGAGTCTAGAGATGCCCGTCATATAACATGTCCCAGTAAAATTAAATAAATAAAACATTGAGAGGCGTTCAGGTGCGATGGGTATCCCTAAAGTTAATGGAACGTTAATGCGAACAGGTCAGGTCTCAGTGTCACCATGACCACCCACCTAGACCTCAAGGGCTGGAGATTAGGGGGTCGGAGGAGGATGAGGGGAAGGGTGTGTGACATGAGTTTGTGAGTGTGTATGGGCGGGGTGTGGGTGTTGTGTGACGGTGGGAAATATATGTGTATGCATGCACTTCTTTGTGTGTGTGTGTGTGTGTATATATGTACGCCTGTGTGTGTATAGATGCCCGTTGTGTGTGCCAGCCAACCTTCCTCAATGACGCGACCCTTGTCGTCAAGCATGCCCTGCACCTCGCAGCCCCTCACATAGGCCAGGCCTGTCTGCTCCACAAAGGGCTGGCGACGGTCGAAGCGTGTGCCGTAGGGCAGGTTGGGCCGCACCGTGACCAGAAAGCAAACGTCGTGCTTCCGCAGCCCTGGGAGAGGTAAGGAGAGCGAGAGAATAAGAGAGAGAGAGAAAGACGGAGGGGGGTGGGGGAGAGAGAGAAAATGCCCCGTCAGCGCTCGGCTGATCTTTAAAACACGAAGCTCTAATTATACAAGGGGGAGGAGGAGGAGAGGGGGATGAGGTGAGCAGGGAGAATCACATCACACTCCTCTCAACTGAAAGACAAAAAGAAGGAGAACGTGGAACCGTAAAAGAGGTGTGGAGGTGGGAGAAAGGGGGATTCTGATAGCACTAGGCTATCCTGACATTGAGCCAGCCTCCTGCAGTCTGAGGTTCGCTTCGTGTTGGTGGAGAGAAGAGACTCCTTTAGTAAATCTATAGATAAAAAGACTCAATCCACTAATTGACGAGCAGAGCAATTTCCATATCTTTCCCTAGCTTGAACTCCAGTATTTCATCCTTTATTTTTCGAAGCACAACTTACACTGAGTGTACAAAACATTAGGAACACCTGCTCTTTCCATGATAGACTGACCAGGTGAACCCAGGTGAAGGCTATGATCCCTTATTGATGTCACCTGTTAAATCCACTTCAATCAGTGTAGATGAAGCAGAGGAGACCGGTTAAAGAAGGATTTCTAAGCCTTGAGACATGGATTGTTTATGTGTGCCATTCAGACGGTGAATGGCCAAAACAAAAGATTTAAGTGCCTTTGAACGGGGTATGGTAGTAGGTGCCAGGCGCACCGGTTTGAGTGTGTCAAGAACTGCAACGCTGCTGGGTTTTTCACGCTCAACTATTTCCCATGTGTATCAAGAATGGTCCACCACCCAAAGGACAACTGCGGGAAGCATTGGTCAACATGGGCCAGCACCCCAGTGGAATGCTTACGACACCCTTGTAGTCCATGCCCTGACGAATTTAGGCTGTTCTGAGGGCAAAGGGGGGTGCAACTCATTATTAGGAAGGTGTTCCTAATGTTTTGTATCATCTCTTGGTAGCTAGTCAGCCAGTGCTGTATGGTTTGATACAGCGCATTCGGAAAGTATTCAGACCCCTTTACTTTTTCCACTTTATGTACAGCCTTATTCTAAAATGGATTAAAAATGATAATAATCCTGCGCAATCTACACACAATACCCCATAATGACAAAGATTTTTTAAACCAGAAATACCTTATTTACATAAGTATTCAGACCCTTTGCTATGACACTCGAAATTGAGCTCAGGTGCATCCTGTTTCCATTGATCATCCTTTAGATGTTTTTACAACTTGATTGGAGTCCGCCTGTGGTTCATTCAATTGATTGGACATGATTTGGAAAGGCACACCTATCTATATAAAGTCAGAGCAAAAACCAAGCCATGAGGTTGAAGGAATTGTCAGTAGAGCTCCGAGACAGGATTGTGTCGAGGCACAGATCTAGGGAAGGGTACCAACAAGTTTCTGCAGCATTGAAGGACCCCAAGAACACAGTGGCCTCCAACATTCTTAAATGGTAGACTTTTGGAAACACCAAGACTCTTCCTAGAGCTGGCCACCCGGCCAAACTGAGCAATCAGGGGAGAAGGGCTTTGGTCAGGGAGGTGACCAAGAACCCGATGGTCACTCTGACAGAGCTCTAGAGTTCCTCTGTGGAGATGGGAGAACCTTCCAGAAGGACAACCATCTTTGCAGCACTCCACCAATCTGGCCTTTATGGTAGAGTGACCAGACGGAAGCCAATCCTCAGTAAAAGGCACATGACAGCCCGCTTGGAGTTTGCCAAAAGGCACCTACAGTGAGGGAAAAAAGTATTTGATCCCCTGCTGATTTTGTACATTTACCCACTGACAAAGACATGATCAGTCTATAATTTTAATGGTAGGTTTATTTGAACAGTGAGAGACAGAATAACAACAACAAAATCCAGAAAAACGCATGTATAAAATGTTATAAATTCATTTGCATTTTAATGAGGGAAATAAGTATTTGACCCCTCTGCAAAACATGACTTAGTACTTGGTGGCAAAACCCTTGTTGGCAATCACAGAGGTCAGACGTTTCTTGTAGTTGGCCACCAGGTTTGCACACATCTCAGGAGGGATTTTGTCCCACTCCTCTTTGCAGATCTTCTCCAAGTCATTAAGGTTTCGAGCCTGACGTTTGGCAACTCGAACCTTCAGCTCCCTCCACAGATTTTCTATGGGATTAAGGTCTGGAGACTGGCTAGGCCACTCCAGGACCTTAATGTGCTTCTTCTTGAGCCACTCCTTTGTTGCCTTGGCCGTGTGTTTTGGGTCATTGTCATGCTGGAATACCCATCCACGACCCATTTTCAATGCCCTGGCTGAGGGAAGGAGGTTCTCACCCAAGATTTGACGGTACATGGCCATGTCCATCGGCCCTTTGATGCGGTAAAGTTGTCCTGTCCCCTTCGCAGAAAAACACCCCCAAAGCATAATGTTTCCACCTCCATGTTTGACGGTGGGGATGGTGTTCTTGGGGTCTTAGGCAGCATTCCTCCTCCTCCAAACACGGCGAGTTGAGTTGATGCCGAAGAGCTCGATTTTGGTCTCATCTGACCACAACACTTTCACCCAGTTCTCCTCTGAATCATTCAGATGTTCATTGGCAAACTTCAGACGGGCATGTATATGTGCTTTCTTGAGCAGGGGGACCTTGCGGGCACTGCAGGATTTCAGTCCTTCACGGCGTAGTGTGTTACCAATTGTTTTCTTGGTGACTATGGTCCCAGCTGCCTTGAGATCATTGACAAGATCCTCCCGTGTAGTTCTGGGCTGATTCCTCACCGTACTCATGATCATTGCAACTCTACGAGATGAGATTTTGCATGGAGCCAAAGGCTGAGGGAGATTGACAGTTATTTTGTGTTTCTTTCATTTGTGAATAATCAAACCAACTGTTGTCACCTTCTCACCAAGCTGCTTGGCGATGGTCTTGTAGCCCATTCCAGCCTTGTGTAGGTCTACAATCTTGTCCTTGACATCCTTGGAGAGCTCTTTGGTCTTGGCCATGGTGGAGAGTTTGGAATCTGATTGATTGATTGCTTCTGTGGACAGGTGTCTTTTATACAGGTAACAAGCTGATATTAGGAGCACTCCCTTTAAGAGTGTGCTCCTAATCTCAGCTCGTTACCTGTATAAAAGACACCTGGGAGCCAGAAATCTTTCTGATTGAAAGGGGGTCAAATACTTATTTCCCTCATTAAAATGCAAATAAATTTATAACATTTTTGACATGCGTTTTTTCTGGATTTCTTTGTTGTTATTCTGTCTCTCACTGTTCAAATAAACCTACCATTAAAATTATAGACTGATCATTTCTTTGTCAGTGGTCAAACGTACAAAATCAGCAGGGGATCAAATACTTTTTTCCCCTCACTGTAAAGACTCTCAGACCATGAGAAACAAGATTCTCTGGTCTGATGAAACCAAGATTCAACTCTTTGGATGTCCTTGAGTGGCCCAGCCAGAGCCCGGACTTGAACCCGATCTAACATCTCTGGAGAGACCTGAAAATAGCTGTGCAGCAACGCTCCCCATCCAACCTGACATGTGAGAAACTCCCCAAATACAGGTGTGTCCAAGCTTGTAGTGGTCATACCCAAGAAGACTTGAGGCTGTAATCGCTGCCAAAGGTGCTTCAACAAAGTACTGAGTAAAGGGTCTGAATACTTATGTAAATGTATTATTTCTATTTTTTCTTTCTAACAACCTGTTTTTGCTTTGTCATTTTGGGCTATTGTGTGTAGATTGATGAGGGGAATTCTTTTTTAAAAAATCAATTTTAGAATATAGCTGTAACCTAACAAAATGTGGAAAAAGTCAAGGGATCTGAATACTTTCCGAAGGCACTGTATGTTCATGGTAAAATGGTAAATCAAAGCCAGGAAGGATGACATCACACTGTTAATATTATCTACAGCAGCCCTGCTGCACCCGTTGGGGGAAGATGATGAAGAAATAAAACACTGAAGCTAAGTGATCAGGGCTGATAGGAAAATACATGTGTACAGGCAGACAAGGCTAGAGGGGGGTCACAGGTCAAGGTACAGCAGGTTTGGACAGAGGGTCTGGATGGACAGACTTTATGGAGGACATAAAGGCTTTATTATTGGGATGGAGTGGGATCCATGAAGAGAGAGGGAGGGAGACAGAGTGCATGAGAAAAGGAGTAAAAAAGAAAGGAGACAGAAAACTAGATGGTATAGAGGGAATGCTGAAAGGTAGAAGAGAGAAAGGGAGAGCAGGGGATAGAGAAATGGCACAACCAAGCCATGTACCTTCCCACTCGTGTTTGATGTGGTCTCGTACGTTGAGGTTGATAGTGATGTCAGCTCGGACGCGGGCGGGCCAGTTCTCTCCAATGTTGGGCTTAGCCACCTCCACAATGGAGAAGGCTGAGATGGTCTGAGACATCCTGGCCCAGCCCCCAAACACCACACCACCATACTCTGACTGCCTACAGGAAGACAAGACAGCAGGTCAACCCCCAAACATCACACTACCATACTATGAGTGCCTGAAAATGTCATAGAAATTGAGTTCAGTGATACAAAAATTATAAATTTGAAATAAACAGAAATGTGGGAACCTTCTCTTTCCATCAGTTCTAAGTGTGTGTTCTCTGCTCACCATGGTTTCATGCGAGTCACCACGTCCTGTCTGATCTCGTAAGTGGACTCCAGACGGAACAGGTTGAAGTTTCTCAGCAGGTAGTCGTGGAGGGTCAGGAACTGCAGGTTCAGTTTAGGGAGAGCCAGACAACCTGGAACACACAAGGATTAAACAGAGATTAAACAGAGAGATAGGAGTCCAACTCCTGTCATTGGTATAGACCTATTACCTACACATCTACACAGTGTAACATTCATAGAACCCAGAGTTTTCCCTGACCAGGATCAACTCCGTAGCCATGTGACAGGGACAATCCCTTTGATATAACAGTGGCAGAGTAGACTATAAACCTAATTTACACCTGTAATCTCTTGGCAGGCTAAAACAGTTAGACAGCCTTATAGACATCGATAGGCTCATGGATTTCAATGGGATTACAGGGCTGTAGGCATCTTAGCTGGTGAAGGTGACCCTGCTAGCCTAAAGAGGATCACCTATTAAGAGGGTGCCAGCTCAGTGCCTCTGTGGTGTGGGATAACACAGCGGAGGGGGGGGGGGGGGGTGATGAGTTTGCGAGGAGACACAGTAGACAGACACACACACACACACACACACACACACACACACCTTCACCAGAATAGTACTCAGTCGGGACGATGTTCTCATCCCAGATAATCTTCTCCGTTGGATAAAGAGGCATCTGGTTAAGTTGCTCGATCTGGGAGATTCTCCTCTCATGACGAGACACCTGTTAGTGTGAGAGAGGGAAGAAAAAGAGATTGAAGAAATACAGACAGAAAGAGAGATAAATGTTTTTGCCCCACTCTTACCCTCCCCTCACTCCCTAGACAGTGGTATTAAAAAGAACGTTTTGTAAAATAATCGTGTCAGACGTATTGCATCACACTACTCACCGTCAGTCATGACAAACCCTTTATTAGAGACCATCTCTCTCACATAGCTAGGCTTTTATCTCTTCAGTTAGCCTGCCAGTTGTGTTTTTTAGGTCTGGGGCCTAAATGTTATAGCATCAATGATGGTTGTGTGCCAAACAAGATACAGAAGTCTATATAATCCCTGTGTTCTCATATGCGATCAGTCAGTCACTAGCCGCCATGCTAAGCTAATCCTGTTATACTGCGTATTCTTTGCCAGTCACCATCTAACCCAGGGTTTTGTCAATGTCGTCCATCTTGTTACACCGCCATGTTCCTTGCCAGTCACTATCTAACCCAGGGTTTTGTAATAGTCATCCATCCCATTACACTGCCGTGTTCCCTGCCAGTCACTATCTAACCCAGGGTTTTGTAATAGTCATCCATCCAGTTACACTGCCGTGTTCCCTGCCAGTCACTATCTAACCCAGGGTTTTGTAATAGTCATCCATCCCGTTACACTGCCGTGTTCCCTGCCAGTCACTATCTAACCCAGGGTTTTGTAATAGTCATCCATCCTGTTACACTGCCGTGTTCCCTGCCAGTCACTATCTAACCCAGGGTTTTGTAATAGTCATCCATCCTGTTACACTGCCGTGTTCCCTGCCAGTCACTATCTAACCCAGGGTTTTGTAATAGTCATCCATCCTGTTACACTGCCGTGTTCCCTGCCAGTCACTATCTAACCCAGGGTTTTGTAATAGTCATCCATCCTGTTACACTGCCGTGTTCCCTGCCAGTCACTATCTAACCCAGGGTTTTGTAATAGTCATCCATCCGGGACTGGCAGAGACGTACAGAGATCTAAAGACTGTAGAACCCTGATTGAGACTAATACCCATCGAGCCCATCTCTGACAGTTATTGCAAAACTATGCAAAAATTACATAATGAGCGATAAAAAATCCTATGCAATCTCGGTAATCTAAATAGGAAATTATTAATTCAAGAGTGGGTGGCTCAAGGCTATGAGGAATGATGTAAATAACCCCCAGAACAGTGATAGCTAGAAGCTCAGTAGCACTCTGGCCAGCTCATCCTCTCATTCCCCAGGTTTAATTACAGACTTTCTCTGCAGTGTGTCTGTGTGACCTGCTCTGCTCCCTCCTGTAAAGCTCTACGAGCCTCTGGCACCGCCGACCCAACAAATAATGCATAATACCAAAGTGGAATCTTTGGAGATTTTTGGTTGCTCAGGGCAACCCGGGGCCATGCAATTGAGTCCCCTGACATTGGCTCTGGGAACAATCTAATCAGCTAATTATGGAAAAGCTTCTCTTCAGTGGTGGGCAGAGGAGACCTAGAGAAGACTTGAAGTGGGAAATTACAGCAATAGGGACAGAGCAGGTCAGTGGATGGGCCGGTCGCATGGTTATAGAGGGTTATGGGGGATGAGACTTGTTTTCAACACACTGTACGCCTATTTTTAAGAGGGACTAAGGGAGGGTGTGTGGAGGGCAAATCAGATCAACAGTGGTGTTTTTTCTTAGGATAAGACAAACCTTGCTGCTCTTTCCTCAGTCTCTCTCTACCTCCCTCTCCTCCACCTCACCAACTTCATCTCTATCACCAACGTTGAGCCCGAATTGGATTAAAAGGCAAATTCAAGGGGGGAGAGGAGTGTGTGTGTGGAGGAGGGGGGGTTGCATACTGTATGTATTCCAAAAGCATAAATTAATGGCTTTTAAATGAGCCACGCAAACCCTATTATGCTGCTATGCTCTCTGGGTGGTTATTGTTCCGCAAGCGAACATATCCTGACATCGCTTCGGTTTAGCCAAGACCTAAATAGAGGAGAGGGGTTCTCTCATGCTTAAGGGCATCTTGGGGGAATTTAAATATTCATTACCTTAGCATCCTCTCCTTGTCTCCTTCCCATCATACCTAACCACAGATCTAGGATCAGATGAGACTTCCCCCATTCCCAAATTTTAAGCATTAGGACGATGAAATAAATATCTGATCCTCTATCAGTGGTTAGGGACAACATCTCCCCGTTTCGTGACAGCATCTACCAGCAGCTCCAGGAGGACCTCTTTCTCATTGGTGGTGTCCTGTCCCTCTGCCAGCTCTGGTAACAGACATAGGTACGAGGCCACCCGGTGGAGAGTGTTGGGACTGCAGGGAGAAAAAACCACTTCAGCATATTTTACGTTATGAACTATTAACTTCCAATTCATATGTATTCCTTTTGAGCATCATGGTTATATTTTCTGCTAAGTCAGCAAGTTTGTTTCTGCAACATTCTTCTATTGAAGTAAATATATGAAATTATGACCCAAGGGTAGAAATGCACATTCAAGAGCAGTGGCGGCTCCTGAAAAAATTCTCAGGAGGGGCAATTTTTCTGATGATGTAGGTGACCTACACACATTTTAAAAAAGATATGTCCAGCAACAACATGAAGACAGGGGCAGCATATAAGTCAATACCAGAAGCATTTATTGACTGATCTGGGGAGATGGATTCCAGTTTCTGTGACAGATTATAAATAATCTCTGATGCCTTTGTTATATTAGCTTTTGGTTGAATGTACTGTCGTAGTAAATATATAATGTTATAGCTTGGTCTGACTAAAATCTTGTGCATGACCCATTTTGTGTTGGGCGTTTGTTTTCAATCAATGCTGTTCCTATCCTATAACAATGGACAAAAGAGTCCTATCTTGTCAGCCTTGTCAGCAGGTGGCCAAGGACAACACCCACGCCATAGGTCTCTCAGTTCTTCCAACTCACGAGTTCTTGCTCTGAGGACACACACACACACACACACACACACACATCATCACTGATAACACACACACACACACACATCATCACTGTTAAACACACACACACACAAAAATCCCCTCTCTTTAGGCTGAACATTTGAAGACAGAGAACCCGACTCAGAGCCAATGCAACAGTGGAGGGGACCTCGCCCAACTCATCAGGACCAATCAGAAGATCAGAACTACTAGATTCAACCTACATCATTTATTGTATAAAATGTCTGCACACAATGTTTTCGGGGCTCTCTTCAGATAGCTCCCTAAGAGTTTGACGAACGGGTCCGTGCACGCGATTCCAGATATCTTTACCTCTGAATAAACTGCCTTTATTATACCATATCCACCCTGTCCAAAGTCTCTACTTGGTCTCAGTTCTCCAGTAAACTTGTGATTATCAACAGTACACAACGGTAACAAACAATTGGGGGAACTCACGGGGCAGATAGTAAGGTCGCAGTGACACAGAAAGCAGTTCAATGTCGGGGGGTACAGAGTCGCTCTCTTACCAGGATCGCGGTCCGCTCTGACCAGGGTGAAGCCGGCCGGCTCCACTTCTCTGTCCGGGACTCTGTCATCCAGCCAAGTCTCCCAGCTGTATTGGATTCCGCTGCCAGCAGCGTTTTCATTATTTAGTCCGTTCGTAGCGGGTATGTACACGATCAACAAGATCAGTCCAAAACCCACCACTGTAAAAATCCATGGTTGGCAGAATGTTTGTAAACTAAGTCTACAAATTAAAAACATAAAATAACGCCACACTGCAGGTCGCAACAGAGACGCTGCTATTTTCTTAGTTACGTTCATGGTTACGTCACGTATGACGAAAGCGCGTAAGTGCAAGCCCACAGACACCCATAGAGAATGTATTGAAAGCTTTGAAATTTGAAAAAAATAGATTTTACATGACAGGCTATGAGAGACTTCTGGGCGATTTTCAACCTGACTGAAATCGCCCCAAAAACGGGCGGGGCCATTTGAAGCACGACTTTAGCCTGATTTGACATTTAGTGGCAGTCAGATCAGATTAGAACACTGATAACTAGTACTGTTGCCGTGATATAATTGATTAGAAAAAAATCCCTTCCTTTTCCCGTTTGGCAGTGCGTCGCCCATATCGCCCTATTGAACAGGCCGTCCCTGTTCAAGAGAATATATGGCCTGGCATCTGACATTATGAAAAGTTCACCATTCACCTAACACACAGGTATTTTCTTAAGTCCTGCACTTGTTAGCATTGGGATGTACTGTACGCTAGCCCTTGTGTTTTCCTATACTCTGCCCTGCTAACTAGGGCCACTGCAGTCCTGCACTGTCAGCATGGCGTGTACAGGGGCTGGGGCCGCATCGATATGACGGGATTATGAAAATCCAACCGCATCTCCATTTCTCAGAGCTGAAGCAGAGGGTTGAGGCTGCTCTCTGAACAGAAGGCTGTTTTAAATCAGACAGATGTGACATGTGCCACCATGACACAGACAGGGGTTGGTATCGAGAGAGACACACTGTGTCTGTGACAGAGTCCTGTACAGACAGACCGGGACACGTGTCACTGTGAGCAGCAGTGTGGCCAGACTCGTGATGCCATGTTTGGTTTGACCACATGGGTCTGGGGTTTTGCTGACCATGCAGTTGGTTTGTCTAGGGACTGGCATGGGTCACGCTGTTGTACTGTACTCCATGACAAAGCTAAAATAGCTGCTTCCATTGAGTTGTTAAGGAGATGAGGCTGGACACAGGAAAGATCTGAGAGCTGTTACTTATGGTTGGGGCCATGAGCCCACTAACCTGCCCAATTCTGATTTTATCTCCACCAAATCTCAAGCCACAGATGACATGCAATGAGAGGAGTTCTTAAAATTGAAAGAGAAAAATACAGTGTGTGTATGTGATAACACCCTGCCTGTCAGGGTTTCCGTTAGGAAAATGTGGCGCCGGACATTTGACCGGCAGCATTTCAATTTACCTGACATTTGATACATTTACCGGACCCATATGCATTGGGTGCATAACCTGATTAGAGAACCACCCATGGTGCTCAGAATGACAGAAATCACAGAACATGCAATTCGAGGATGCAATGATGTGCGGTCCTTCTTAACGAATTCTTATGCACACTTTGAAGATTTTAGAATAACTGTCCACAATTACTTTTCCTCAGCCAACAAGACTAGTAATGAACAGCAAAATTACTAGCCTGTCAATCTACTCTCCACCATAGTAGAAAAATTGAACTACTTTATTGGTCAGCTTGTCGAGAAAGAAATAGCCTATTCAAACTGACTCTGGGACAGTTGTAGGACGATAGATCCCAAATCCATACAACCAGTAGGCCTAGGAAACATAAAATAAAAGCAATGAGTCTGACGCAACAGACCAGAACGCGTCGCTGAAAATGTTGATGAACTATTATTTCTTGACATTATACAGTGCATTCGGAAAATACTCAGCCCCCTTTACTTTTTCCACAGTTACTCTACAGCCTTATTCTAAAATGGATTAAATAAAACAATTTCCTCATCAATCTACACACAATACCCCATAATGACAAAGCAAAAAACAGGTTCAGAAATCTTTGCAAATGTATTACAAATAAAAAACAGAAATACCTTATTTAGATAAGTATTCAGACCCTTTGCTATGAGACTCCAAATTGAGCTCAGGTGCATCCTGTTTCCATTGATCATCCTTGAAATGTTTTTACAACTTGATTGGAGTCCACCTGTGGTAAATTCAATTGATTGAACATGATTTGGAAAGGCACACACCTGTCTATATAAGGTCCCACAGTTGACAGTGCATGTCAGAGCAAAAACCAAGCCATGAGGTCGAAGGAATTGTCCGTAGAGCTCCGAGACAGGATTGTGTGGAGGCATAGATCTGGGGAAGGGTACCAAAAAATTTCTGCAGCATTGAAGGTCCTCAAGAACACAGTGGCCTCAATCGTTCTTAAATGGAAGAAGTTTGGAACCACCTAGATTCTTCCTAGAGCTGGCCGCCCGGCCAAACTGAGCAATCGGGGGAGAAGGGCCTTGGTCAGGGAGGTGACCAAGAACCCGATGGTCACTCTGACAGAGCTCCAGAGTTCCTCTGTGGAGATGGGAGAACCTTCCAGAAGGACAACCATCTCTGCAGCACTCCACCAATCAGGTCTTTATGATAGAGTGGCCAAACAAAGCCACTCCTCAGTAAAAGGCACATAACAGCCCGCTTCAACAAAGTACTGAGTAAAGGGTCTGAATACTTATGTAAATGTGATATCAGTTTTTTATTTGTAATACATTTGCAAACATTTCTAAAAGCCAGTTTTTGCTTTGTCATTATGGGGTATTGTGAGTAGATTGATAAGGGGAAAAAACGATTTAATCCATTTTAGAATAAGGCTGTAACCTAACGAAATGTGGAAAAAGTCAAGAGGTCTGAATACTTTCCGAAGGCACTGTAAGTGCAGCAATGAGCACAAGGCAGTAGACTGTGTGTGAATGTTCGTCCCATAATGCAATTAACGGAAAAACACTGTTGTCAAAGCACACCGCACATGCGAGTGGTTTCATGTGACATATGAAAATATCAGCTAGCACAACTAGCATGGGTTGCTAATATGACTATGATTGTGCCTTTGGCTACTGGACAATAAATAAAATAATTGCCTCCACGGCTATGGTCTGATTTTGGCTAGGCTACTTTGAAGCAAGGGAAGACATGCCTCATAATATCTAGTACACTTTCAGGTTTCAAACTATTTAAGTATATGTTTTCAAAATGCATACAGCCTCCAACTCATTGTAAAGTGGTGTGTGACGTGCTGATGAAGCCTGCCTTCTGTTGCCTATACATTTGCTGTTTGAGATGCTGTAGCAGCAGCTCTCGCACTGTCTGTCAGATTTTCCTCTCAAAGGCTCTATATCTGTATGCTGTAAGCGTGTGATAAGACACATAACGAATACACTTTACACACACGCCAATTTAATTCCACAAAATTATGCAAATTAACCTATAGACCGATGAGTATGACCAGTAAAATGTATTTCCATCAAACAAAAGGCTAAAAAGCCTAATTTCAATTTTCTTTTTTTCTAGGACGATTGGCCGGATGCAATTTTATTCATCAACTTTGTTTAGTTTTTTTGCCAAAAGCTGGCTATTTCCGGCTAACGGAACCCTGCTGCCCGTGTGTGTTTTGGGGACTAAGCGGATCAATCTGAAATAATGGGCGAGTGGCAGTTTAGCTTGTGGGTAGCACAGCTGGAATAGCTGGAATTAAAAATAGGGTTTTGTGGGTAAAAAGTGCCTTGTTAAAAGTGATGGAAGCCTTTGAAGGCAGTGGGGGGACCCGGTGACAATGCAGAGCCTGGCTTTATCCATGAGAACAATAATACAGAGAGGAAAAGAGAGTGTAAAAACTCAGCAGCACCTAGGACCAGGGTCCGAAGGAAAGGAGAAAGGATAGGAAGCACACACACACTAACAAGGCCCAGCCCCATGAAAGCGATGGAGGGGGATGTTTTTTGGCAAGGCCACTCGCAAATATGATCTGACAAATCCAGCTGTTCAAAGAGTTTATTCTCAAGCCCCTGCAAATCGATTAAATTAATGAGGCGAGTCTCTCTCTCTGTGGCTGGTACCACTCTACTCTGCACATTCAAGGACTCACATGCTGCCTGACATTCACGGTAAGGGGGGCAGCGGTAGGGATGTTAGCGATACAACAGTGACAATTAAGCGATTGTCATCATGGTAGCATAAAGAAATGAAGGTTAGGATGTGTAGGGATGTTTTTTTGGGTTCACAATCCCAGATATGACCCCCCCCCACCCACACACTCTACCTGAGATGGCCAAACTGTTTGGTGAGGGATTCCCGTGTGTCCACGGCTGCCACATTGGACAGGGCAAAGTCCTGCAGCTCTGGGAAATGGGCAAAGGCTGCCTTCTGAAAGACAAGACAGCAAACATTTAGAGATCAGGTGGAAACAACACCTTACCCACACACCCCAGAGCCAGTGTGATGTCAGGCACCTTTTTGATTTCCCTAATGTATTAATCCAACATCTGTGTGGGGCTAGAGAGAGAGGTAAGGGAAAGAGAGAGAGATGGACAGATGGAGAGACAACTAGGATGAACAGATAAACCAGTCTGCATATTTCCCTTTAAATTAAGACTGAAAACTAAAATATTGAAAATTCTCTCTAGGACCGAAGTTTGACTTGATATTCTTTCTTGTAAATGACATCTGGAAGCTGTCACTAAATCATGAATGTTCCATATTCATACATGTACAACTCACAGCATGGGTTATGTCTCCCAGTACACTTAGGTAAACTTTATCCTATCTTTAACGCTTAAATGTGCAAATGATGTTCAAAACTGATGCCTATCAACAATTTGAATAATATAGAATAATTTGTGATGTGGACAGGTCAAGTAAACAACCAAACAAAACAGAAGTCATTCATCCATCCATCCTGGGTAGTACTGTATACACGTACCTGCAGTGATGCGATTCTGTTGTAGTGGAGCGTAGTCATCTCCTTCTCTGTCTGGTCGTTGATCTCAAAGCCGGTGTAGAACTTCAGCATGTCCAGTAACTGGCAGAAGAGGTGTCCCTCCTTTTCTCTCTGCATGAGGCTGGACAGGTGGCAGCTCACCACCAGGTGGGAGTCATCCAGCACCGTGTTGAACCAGCGACGTGTCGGGAGCAGGGCCTTGGGACAGACATAGAATGGAACCACACATTACACATCATGGTAAAACAATGAAACAGCTGCCCTTATATACAAGACTATAGGCTCAATAAATATGATCGTAAAAAATGTTTACAAAAATAATAATAATTTATGCATCTACCTATAACTAGAAAACGTATAAAAAAGCCCCAGAAAGACCACACACATTCCAACAGTGAAACAGAAAGGCTCTCAGTCAATGTTAAACACATTGAGGCCATTATATAATCCTAGTATTACTATTCAGCCCAGGTCTGTAACTGATAACAAGGAGGTGATCTTTGAGCTGAGACGATGCAACATCAGAACCAGGATTAGTCCATGTATGGATTGACTCAGTCTCTGGGGTCATTCAGATCAATGCATCTACAAACCAGAATTCCCAGCATTGAGGACAAGAGTATAAAGGGACCCTATTGATTCAGGGTCTATTTCAGCAGGGTGTTTTACACTCTTTTTTGCACTTCATAGATGACAGTTGGAGGTCAAATTTCTAATTTCAAAAAGAGGAAAACAATGACAATAGCCTACATAGTGACTCCTACTCACAAACAACACCAAAAATGAATTGAAAAAATGCAAACCACAGAGCCTCAATGTATTCTATCGAGTTCACCTCTCTGCAGAGGGCAGGTGCTTCAAATGATACTACTCCCACAACAAGACAGACAAGCTTTATCTATGGCCACATCTTTGATCTCCACAGACCTGTCACAGACGGCTCGACCTTACAGACACACAAAATGTAGGATCTCTTTTTCCATACAGAGATTTAGAGGGTCTCATCACATCATCTCAGAGGGAAGTATGAGATTTCAGCCATCCCTTTGTAAAATGATACTGCTGAGGGGGAAAGGACTTCTCTGGAGGCAGCTTGCCTTGCCATTGCCAGTGCCAGGAAAATAAAGGATAGCCTGTCATCGGATGGGGGGGATATCAATCCTTCCTATCCTCCCTAGGTGGAAACAGGAGCACCGTGGCCATGCAGCCCAGAGAGGGAAGGAACCATCTTGACTATGTGACATTCTCTCTGCGTGTCATGATGAAGCCAAACCAGACCACAGAGAAGAAAGCACACTACACCGTGACGTTACACCTCATTTTCTCTATGCTAGGAATAACCTGTATTTTCTCACTGTCATCAAACACCAAATCACTCAAGATTACATACTCTACACATGTCAAGACAGAAATAGGTGTACAGGTATAGGTAGGTACAGAGACCTCAAAAGTGTCTTTGCATGCTCAGTGAATGCAGATATTCAATTGATTCTATATAAATGGCTGCCTAGTACACTTCATAAATATGCAACACAACAACACCATAGTGTCCCTTATAAATAGTGTGTTTCTTACCTCAAGGTCAATCATGAGCTCGATGAACCTCTCGCAGTAGTGCACCTTCTCCATGGGTACAGGGCCTGAGAGAGACAACACAGGGAGACATTCAGTTCAGGTAATAACATACACAACACGCAAGACCGCCATCACACACACTGAAACACCGAGGGGAATGTGGGAGAAGAAGGGAGAGTTTTCAGCGAACTGTGGCCAACACCATGGCTGTGTGTGTGTGAGCCGGGGCCAGGAAGTGGCAAGTGGCCCGGTGGTGCACGGAGACCCCGGTATATTCTCTAATCTGGGGCACTGCAACGTACGCTGGGAGATCAGCCCTCATTAGTGGTGTGTGTGTATGTATGTGTGTGTGTGTGTGTGTGTGTGTATATATGAGGCGAGCCTGTGTGTGTGTGCAGTAGCACATGTTCATTGTGCTACATACAAGCATGCGTGTGTGTACGTCCCTGTGCTGTGTACCAATGCTCTGACAGGGAGGATTAGGGTCTGGGTCTCAGCAGGACCACCACCACCCAGCTACATGTTGGGAGAGATGCTATTCTGAGCACACAGGTTGGGTGTGTGGGGCGGGGGCAGAGTGTCGTCCTACATTATATCACCACACAGACTGTCGCCGTGGGCATGGCGGGGGACAGCTGGACAGGGCTGCTCTTTCAGAGTGGGGGTCAAGTCGGGAGGAAAGGATGAACTTTGGGACTGATAGAGGATTGGAAATGGTGCATCTCACACCGGTAATGAGGGACTTTTGGACTGTAGAAATGTCACTGAGAAATGAGCCCCACGTATAAAGACTAACAAAGGTAAAGGCTATCAAAGAAAGAGCTGGTTCATCATTTTCAAGGATAAAGACTAGGAGGTAAAGGCATGTGCATGTGGTGTTGTAGTTTGTCACTTGTAACTGAAAACTTTTCAGCATGAGGAATATGTCTTTGAGCACAATTTTTAGCCTTGAGAATCTCATCTTTCTCCTTAAGTAAATGTGGCCTCCCTGCTGCGGTGTCCAGCTGCTTATAGGCAACAAAACAAAGCTGCTTTGTTCATAAATCATAGCTGTGTTGCTAAATGTTTACCTGCTGGGGAGATGGACATAAGAACTCCCAGAAACTTCTTAATGAGCTCAGAAAGGAATGTCCTCTCCATCTTGGCTCTGGAAATAAAAGGCAGGAAATAATAATAACTAGCGACACACATCACAACACTGTGCCTTTGAGGGGACTATTATAATTTCAGAGGAGACTATTATAATTTCCTAGGGGGACTATTATCGTTTCTGAGGAGACTATTATATTTTCCTGGTGGGACTATTGTACTTTTGATGGGACTATTATATTTGTTATGGGGCTATTATATTTTTGATGGGGCTATGTAAAAAAAAAAAAAAAAAATGGGACTATTATATTTTGGATGGGACTATTAGATTTTGGATGGGACTATTTCTACAGGATGTGCAGGCAGAGGGAGAAGGTCTTACTGCTCTGAAGCTTTCCCGTCCAGCTTGTCAAAATTCCTCTTGATCAGATTCCAAAACTTTTGGCGCTTGGGAACTTTCTTCAGCTCGTGTTGGAGTCTAGACTGTACAGATGACAGACAGTGCGTTGATTAATCAATCTTAATGACGCTATCAAAAAAGAGCTAAACATTGGAAATCTGCACTGGGACTGTTTGTCTTTGGTTGACCTACCCTTTTCTATGTAATAAATCACTATTCAGTAATGTAAAAACTATTTTGCCATAATCTTAAACATTATGCATACAGTGGGGGAAAAAAGTATTTAGTCAGCCACCAATTGTGCAAGTTCTCCCACTTAAAAAGATGAGAGAGGCCTGTAATTTTCATCATAGGTACACGTCAACTATGACAGACAAATTGAGATTTTTTTTTCTAGAAAATCACATTGTAGGATTTTTTATGAATTTATTTGCAAATTATGGTGGAAAATAAGTATTTGGTCACCTACAAACAAGCAAGATTTCTGGCTCTCACAGACCTGTAACTTATTATTTAAGAGGCTCCTCTGTCCTCCACTCGTTACCTGTATTAATGGCACCTGTTTGAACTTGTTATCAGTATAAAAGACACCTGTCCACAACCTCAAACAGTCACACTCCAAACTCCACTATGGCCAAGACCAAAGAGCTGTCAAAGGACACCAGAAACAAAATTGTAGACCTGCACCAGGCTGGGAAGACTGAATCTGTAATAGGTAAGCAGCTTGGTTTGATGAAATCAACTGTGGGAGCAATTATTAGGAAATGGAAGACATACAAGACCACTGATAATCTCCCTCGATCTGGGGCTCCACGCAAGATCTCACCCTGTGGGGTCAAAATGATCACCAGAACGGTGAGCAAAAATCCCAGAACCACACGGGGGGACCTAGTGAATGATGTTTCTGATGTCCTTTGACAGCTCTTTGGTCTTGGCCATAGTGGAGTTTGGAGTGTGACTGTTTGAGGTTGTGGACAGGTGTCTTTTATACTGATAACAAGTTCAAACGGGTGCCATTAATACAGGTAACGAGTGGAGGACAGAGGAGCCTCTTAAAGAAGAAGTTACAGGTCTGTGAGAGCCAGAAATCTTGCTTGTTTGTAGGTGACCAAATACTTATTTTCCACCATAATTTGCAAATAAATTCATTAAAAATCCTACAATGTGATTTTCTTTCTCATTTTGTCTGTCATAGTTGACGTGTACCTATGATGAAAATTACAGGCCTCTCTCATCTTTTTAAGTGGGAGAACTTGCACAATTGGTGGCTGACTAAATACTTTTTTCCCCCATTGTATCTAACAGTGTGACAGTTCTAAAGACAGGAGCACTGCAGGATAAGAGGAGCTCTTACTGGTAAGAGACACGTCCACATGGGCAGTGAGATGAGCTGCTGCACCTGCTCTCTGATCAAATCCACCTCCTGAGAGCAGAGAGAGAGAGACAGAGAGAAAATGGGAGAGGGGGTCAGAGAGGGACATAAGGATATTTGAGTTGGTAGAATAATGGCATTGCACCAAATAGATTAGAACCATTGCATACACTTCAGTAGAAGCAGAGGGATAAACATCTAATTTCAGAGAAACTGGTGCAGTGGCTACCCATGGTTTTGAGCAGGAGTGGGGAATACAGATATGCTAGGGAGGCACCTGAGTATAGTGTTATGAAGTGTAATACTGCCACCTAGTGGAACCTAAACCAAACTAATTTCATGGAAACCACATGCAGGACGGTTTTCCCTACCTTCTGCTCTTGTTCGCTCATCTTTGTGGATCTGAGACTAGGGCTATGGTGGTCATGAAATGGCATTATTTTATATTATTTTATAGTATGAAGAATACAATTGAATATAGCTGAATAAAATACAAAGGATATTTTCTCCAAACGATTGAGGGAGTGCACACATGCAGCTATTCTGTGTTGAGTGGTTAACAAAAAAAACAGGTCCTCTTATATGCTTAATTTAGAGTTATTTATGCAACTTTAGTTGTGATACAAACGTTGGGCTATACGTTTTGAATTTTAATACATTCTAAGGCTGCATGATAGAACTCTAATGATGATTTGAAAAAAGTTCCATGAAAGGCTTTGTTTTGTTTCATGTGCAGGCTTCACCCACTTCATTAGTCTCTCATTCACAATTTGACAAGCACTTGATAATATTCTCACCACGCCTCGAATGTCACAGCGGCATCCCCCTTGTGTGGCCGTAATGCCCCCTAAAAAATCTGCCTTTTGCGGCCAAAGTGGCCATTGTGCCCTTGGTTTGAATATAATAATTATAATTCGCTTCTCCCGGATGTGCTCACTCATATGGCTCTCTCAGATATCTAAATTATTATTAGCCAAAGCCCGTCACGTGATCGGGTCGTTCTCACAGGCATCTCAGCTCTGTGTAATAGTGTTCCCTCTGCCCCCTTGTCCTTGTGGGTGATTGTTATTTGTGAGAGTATTATAGCTTGGTGGAGCTACTCGTACATTTTGTTGCCAGGGTAGATTTTCCCCTGTGCCTATGTATTATTGGATACTACAGTTACAGTGTATTTGCCAGGGATGAGAGTTTCCCCTGTGCCTGTTTCGTTGATCACTATTTGAGCGCATTTATGTGTCAACGAAGGAATAAACTCTGTATTCGGTGATTACCCTCCTGTGCCTGACTCCTTTCATCACAGAATCACCCACCCGCTATGGAGTCAGCGGGAGAAGAGCGCATGCCTGGAGTCGTGGCACGGGTCCAAGAGCATTCCACGATGCTGGCCAGCTTGGGGGAAGCGATGGATCGGGTTCTTCAGATCGTCCAATGCCTGGAGAGGAGAGAACCCGATCTGTCGAGACCAGCTGGTCAACCGGATCCAGCCACCTATACCCCAGCACCCGGAGGGATCCAGATATCACGACCACGGGCGTTTGATGGGACGGCGGCGCTGTGCCAGGGATTCCTCCTCCAAATGGAGCTGTCCTTCTCCAGCATCAGGCCGGCGCCATCGGAGCGGGAGAAGGTGTCCGTCCTTGTTTCCTGCCTCTGTGGGAAAGCCCTGGAGTGGGCCAACGCGGTGTGGAACGAAGGAGGAGCCGCGTTGGAGGACTACGGGGAGTTCGCTCACCTCTTTCGGGCGGTATTCGATCACCCGCCCGAGGGTGGAGAGGTGGGCGAGCGGCTGGTCCACCTGAGGCAGGGGACGAGGACCGCGCAGGACTTCGCGTTGGCGTTTCGGACGCTGGCAGCGGGGTCCGGGTGGAATGAGCGGGCCCTGATCGACCATTTCCAGGGCCATCTGTGGGAGGACGTCCGACAGGAGCTAGCCTGCCGGGACACCATGTTGTCCTTCAATAAACTGGTGGACATGGCCATTCGTTTGGACAACCTGCTGGCAGCCAGAGGACGTCCTGGTAGGGGTCTGCCCGTTTCCACCCCGGACGACTCGGATCCCAAGCCGATGGAGCTGGGTGGTGCCGCCGGCCGAGAGAGCGGAGGAGGACAGCGACAGTGCCACTCTGGTGGCACGAAGGGACAGTACACCACACGTCGTAGTCAACGTTATTTTGGGTCTGTAGGCGGCAGGCTGGGAACTCACGCATCACCCCAGGTATCGAACACCCACACTTGTTCAGAGCCCTCTGCTGCGCACTGTACCCTACCTATCCACTTTCCCGATCACATGGTAGTTCCCCAGTGTAAGGCGCTAGTCGATTCCCCTATCCATTCCACTCCCCATCAGAGCACACGATAGTCGACCATTAGGGTCTGGGTTTGTTATGGAAGTCACTATACCAGTCACGATGATCACCCAGGAGACACATTGTGAGCAGGTTATTTTTTCGATTATTGAGTGTCTGCTTTCCCTGTGTTATTAGGTATCCCTTGGCCCCAACTTCTCATGGCCGCAGAGGGCTCTCACGGGGTGGTCGCGAGAGTGTCAGGGTTGGTATCTAGATGTTTCCGTTGGTGCAACCATGATGGAAAGTCCAGACGGTACCTCCACCGTGCGCATTCCCCCCGTGCGACTAAATTACCACCTCATCGGGCAGGGGACTGCGCGATAAACCTTCGGGTAGACGCTGTACCTCCCAGGAGTCATGCGTAGCCCCTGTCGCAGGCTGAAACAGAGGCTCTGGAAACATACATCTCCGATTCCCTGGGACAGGGGTATTTACAGTGAGGGAAAAAAGTATTTGATCCCCTGCTGATTTTGTACGTTTGCCCACTGACAAAGAAATGATCAGTCTATAATTTTAATGGTAGGTTTATTTGAACAGTGAGAGACAGAATAACAACAAAAAAATCCAGGAAAACACATGTCAAAAATGTTATAAATTGATTTGCATTTTAATGAGGGAAATAAGTATTTGACCCCTCTGCAAAACATGACTTAGTACTTGGTGGCAAAACCCTTGTTGGCAATCACAGAGGTCAGACGTTTCTTGTAGTTGGCCACCAGGTTTGCACACATCTCAGGAGGGATTTTGTCCCACTCCTCTTTGCAGATCTTCTCCAAGTCATTAAGGTTTTGAGGCTGACGTTTGGCAACTCGAACCTTCAGCTCCCTCCACAGATTTTCTATGGGATTAAGGTCTGGAGACTGGCTAGGCCACTCCAGGACCTTAATGTGCTTCTTCTTGAGCCACTCCTTTGTTGCCTTCGCGGTGTGTTTTGGGTCATTGTCATGCTGGAATACCCATCCACGACCCATTTTCAATGCCCTGGCTGAGGGAAGGAGGTTCTCACCCAAGATTTGACGGTACATGGCCCCGTCCATCGTCTCTTTGATGCAGTGAAGTTGTCCTGTCCCCTTAGCAGAAAAACACCCCCAAAGCATAATGTTTCCACCATCATGTTTGACGGTGGGGATGGTGTTCTTGGGGTCATAGGCAGCATTCCTCCTCCTCCAAACATGGCGAGTTGAGTTGATGCCAAAGAGCTCCATTTTGGTCTCATCTGACCACAACACTTTCACCCAGTTCTCCTCTGAATCATTCAGATGTTCATTGGCAAACTTCAGACGGGCATGTATATGTGCTTTCTTGAGCAGGGGGACCTTGCGGGCACTGCAGGATTTCAGTCCTTCACGGCGTAGTGTGTTACCAATTGTTTTCTTGGTGACTATGGTCCCAGCTGCCTTGAGATCATTGACAAGATCCTCCCGTGTAGTTCTGGGCTGATTCCTCAACCTTCTCATGATCATTGCATCTCCATGAGGTGAGATCTTGCATGGTTGCCAAAAGCTGCTTGGCGATGGTCTTGTAGCCCATTCCAGCCTTGTGTAGGTCTACAATCTTGTCCCTGACATCCTTGGGGAGCTCTTTGGTCTTGGCCATGGTGGAGAGTTTGGAATCTGATTGATTGATTGCTTCTGTGGACAGGTGTCTTTTATACAGGTAACAAGCTGAGATTAGGAGCACTCCCTTTAAGAGTGTGCTCCTAATCTCAGCTCGTTACCTGTATAAAAGACACGTGGGAGCCAGAAATCTTTCTGATTGAGAGGGGGTCAAATACTTATTTCCCTCATTAAAATGCAAATCAATTTATAACATTTTTGACATGTGTTTTTCTGGATTTTGTTGTTGTTATTCTGTCTCTCACTGTTCAAATAAACCTACCATTAAAATTAGAGATTGATCATTTCTTTGTCAGTGGGCAAACGTACAAAATCAGCAGGGGATCAAATACTTTTTTCCCCTCACTGTACGTCCCTCCACTTCACCCGCCTCCTCAAGTTTTTTCTTTGTGAAGAAGAAAGACGGCGGTCTGTGCCCGTGCATTGATTATCGATCACTGAACAAGGACACGATTGGATTTAGTTATCCTCTCCCCCTCATTCCTTCAGTAATTGAGTCAATGCATGGGGCGCGCTTCTTCATTAAGTTAGATCTCAGGAGTGCATACGACCTGGTGCGTGTTCGGGAGGGGGATGAGTGGAAGACAGCATTCAGCAGAACCACGGGGCATTATGAATACCTGGTGATGCCCTACGGTTTGATGAATGCTCCATCCGCCTTCCAGTCCTTTGTGAACGAGGTGTTTCGGGACATGCTTGGTCGCGGTGTGGTGGTCTACATCAATGACATCCTGGTGTATTCCACTACTCACGCCGAGCATGTGTCCCTGGCCTGACTATTAGAAAATGACATTTATGCCAAGGCAGAAAAGTGTATTTTTTTCCAGCAGTCCGTCTCCTTCCTCGGATATAGCATTACCACCTCAGGTGTGGAGATGGAGGGAGATTGCATTTCAGCCGTGAGTAATTGGCCGACTCCAACCACGGTTAAAGAGGTGCAGCGCTTCCTTGGCTTTGCAACTACTATCGGAGGTTTATCCGGGGCTTTGGAAAGGTTGCAGCTCCCATTACATCCCTGTTGAAGGGTGGGCCATCCCGGCTCCGCTGGTCTGCTGAGGCTGACCTGGCCTTCAGGAGACTGCGGGGTCTGTTCACCTCAGCTCCGGTAATGGCCCACCCCGACCCATCACTACCGTTCGTAGTGGAGGTGGATGCGTCCGACGTAGGGATAGGCGCTGTCCTGTCCCAACGCTCAGGCACGCCACCGAAGTTACGCCCCTGTGCCTTCTTCTCTAAGAAGCTCAGCCCGGCGGAGCAGAACTACAACGTTGGTGATCGGGAGCTGTTGGCTGTTGTCCGAGCTTTGACCGTGTGGAGGCATTGGCTCGAAGGGGCGAAACACCCTTTCCTCGTCTGGACAGACCACCGTAACCTGGAGTACATCCGGGCAGCGAGGAGGCTGAATCCTTGCCAGGCCAGGTGGGCCCTATTCTTCAGCCGGTTTGATTTTACACTATCATACATTCCGGGTACGAAGAACGTGAAGGCAGACACACTGTCCCAGCTGTATGACACAGAGGAGAGGCCCAGAGACAACAACCTCTTATCCGTGATCATCTGATCTTCTGGGCACACACATCACCCTCCTCTGGTCACCCAGGTGTCGGTCGTACGGTGCGCTGCTTGATCGGAAAGTACTGGTGGCCTACCTTGGCTAAGGACGTGAGGGTGTACGTCTCCTCCTGCTCGGTGTGCGCCCAGAGTAAGGCACCTAGGCACCTCCCAGCGGGTAAGCTATAACCTTTACCTTTCACCTCCAGTGCGCCGTGCATCGTCAGAAGGCCAACGCTGACCGTTACTGCAGTGAGGCCCCGGTCTTCGTACCGAGAGATCAGGACTGGCTCTCGACCCGGAATCTGCTCCTCCGCCTGCCCTACTGTAAGCTGAGCCCGCGGTTTGTGGGGCCGTTCAAAGTCCTGAGGAGAATCAACGAGGTCACGTATAGGTTATAACTTCCCCCTGATTACTGTATTAACCCCTCGTTTCATGTGTCTCTCCTCAGGCCGGTGGTGGTTGGTCCGCTCCAGGAGTCTGAGGTGCGGGAGGTTCCTCCACCTCCTCTGGACATTGAGGGGGCCCTGGCGTACTCTGTCCACTCCATCCTGGATTCGAGGCATCGGGTGGGGGGCCTTCAGTACCTCATGGAGTGGGAGGGGTAAGGTCCGGAGGAACGGTGCTGGATCCCGGTGAAGAATATCCTCGATCCCTCCCTGTTGCGGGATTTCCACCGTCGCCATCCGGCTCGCCCTGCTCTGCGTCCTCCTGGCCGTCCCCGAGGCTGGGGTCGGCGCGCTGCTGGAGCTGCGCGTCGGGGGGGGGGGGGAGCCTGCCCTTGTTCGGGCAGGCTTCGGCGTTCGTCATCACCGGCTTACTAACCACTGCCGCCCCAATCATCATCACATTTGTCTTGTCTTGTTAATCACACACACCTGGTTCTAATCCCCTCATTAGTCCGTGTAATAGTGTTCCCTCTGCCCCCCTTGTCCTGTGGGTGATTGTTAGTTGTGAGAGTAGTATAGCTCGGTGGAGCTACTCGTACATTTTGTTGCCAGGGTAGATTTTCCCCTGTGCCTATGTATTATTGGATTCTACCGTTACAGTGTATTTGCCAGGGATGAGAGTTTCCCCTGTGCCTGTTTCGTTGATCGCTATTTGAGCGCATTTGTGTGTCAACGAAGGAATAAACTCTGTATTCGGTGATTACCCTCCTGCGCCTGACTCCTTTCATCACACTCATCACACCATGTCAATCTACTATACCCCATAGTACAAAAGTTGACCTATTCTGTGATAGATCCCAAATTAATATAACCACTCGCATCATAAAACCTTTTAAAAGCAATGAGGCTGATGCAACCGATCAGAACGTTTAGCTTAAATGTTGATAAACTATTAGGCTATTTATTCACATTATAAGCGCAACAATGCTCACATGGCAGTAGGCTATAAGCGTGAATGTTACAAAATGCAATCAATTAGCGGGATTTTTTTTTTATCTCAGAAGAGACCACAAATGTAACCCTTTATTATAAAGGTGTATTTTTAATGGTGAAAATTATCTTCCCCAAACTTCAAACTCACGCGCCGCCTATGTATGCCAGTTAAGCTCTACACCGGTTGTAAAGCGGATTAATGTGCTTAATTTTAAGAAGTTATTTGGCCACTTTAGTTGCAATACAAACCCTATCAAAATATATAGACCTATTGGCTAGGCTACATGAGGTGTGAAAAAAAGGGGCTGTTTCTTGCCTTACTGCACACGATGGGCATCAATCACAAGTGATAGGGTAATATTGTCACCCATCAGACTATTCTTAATTTAATCTTCTCTTTACATATACTAAATTATATACAGTTGAAGTCGGAAGTTTACATACACTTAGGTTGGAGTCATTAAAACTTGTTTGTCAACCACTCCACAAATTTCTTGTTAACAAACTATCGTTTTGGCAAGTCGGTTAGGACATCTACTTTGTGCATGACACAAGTAATTTTTCCAACAATTGTTTACAGACAGATTATTTCACTTCTAATTCCAGTGGGTCAGAAGTTTACATACACTAAGTTGACTGTGCCTTTAAACAGCTTGGAAAATTCCAGAAAATGATGTCATGGCTTTAGAAGCTTCTGATAGGCTAATTGACACCATTTGAGTCAATTGGAGGTGTACCTGTGGATGTATTTCAAGGCCTACCTTCAAACTCAGTGCCTCTTTGCTTGACATCATGGGAAAATCAAAAGAAATCAGTTAAGACCTCAGAAAAAAATTTGTAGACCTCCACAAGTCTGGTTCATCCTTTGGAGCAATTTCCAAACGCCTGAAGGTACCACGTTCATCTGTACAAACAATAGTACGCGAGTATAAACACCATGGGACCACGCAGCCGTCATACCGCTCAGGAAGGAGACGCATTCTGTCTCCAAGAGATGAACGTACTTTGGTGCGAAAAGTGCAAATCCATCCCAGAACAACAGCAAAGGACCTTGTGAAGATGCTGGAGGAAACAGGTACAAAAGTATCTATATCCACAGTAAAACAAGTCCTATATCGACATAACCTGAAAGGCCGCTCAGCAAGGAAGAAGCCACTGCTCCAAAACTGCCATAAAATGCCAGACTACGGTTTGCAACTGCACATGGGGACAAAGATCGTACTTTTTGGAGAAATGTCCCCTGGTCTGATGAAAAAAAATAGAACTGTTTGGCCATTATGAACATCGTTATGTTTGGAGGAAATAGGGGGGAGGCTTGCAAGCCGAAGAACACCATCCCAACCGTGAAGCATGGGGGTGGCAGCATCATGCTGTGGGGGTGCTTTGCTGTAGGAGGGACTGGTGCACTTCACAAAATAGATGGGATCATGAGGAAGGAAAATTATGTGGATATATTGAAGCAACATCTCAAGACATCAGTCAGGAAGTTAAAGCTTGGTCGCAAATGGGTCTTCCAAATGGACAATGATCCCAACCATACTTCCAAAGTTGTGGCAAAATGGCTTAAGGACAACAAAGTCAAGGTATTGGAGTGGCCATCACAAAGCCCTGACCTCAATCCTATAGAAAATGTGTGGGCAGAACTGAAAAGGCGTGTGCGAGCAAGGAGGCCTACAAACCTGACTCCATTACACCAGCTCTGTCAGGAGGAATGGGCCAAAATTCACCCAATTTATTGTGGGAAGCTTGTGGAAGGCTACCTGAAACTTTTGACCCAAGTTAAACAATTTAAAGGCAATGCTACCAAATACTAATTGAGTGTATGTAAACTTCTGACCCACTGGGAATGTGATGAAATAAATAAAAGCTGAAATAAATCATTCTCTCTACTATTATTCTGACATTTCACATTCTTAAAATAAAGTGGTGATCCTAACTGACCTAAGACAGGGAATTTGTACTAGGATTAAATGTCAGTAATTGTGAAAAACAGAGTTTAAATGTATTTGGCTACAGTGTATGTAAACTTCCGACTTCAACTGTATGTGTGAAATTATTTTTCATTTAGAATGGACCATTATCATGCACCTGTCTCAGAACAGGGGCAGGGGAAAGAAATATGTCACCTATGCACTTAAATAGCAAATGGAGGATGATGTTCAGTGGTTCATTTTCGTGCTAGCCTGGTAGGCTATACTCCTGTTGTAAAGCGAATAAATGTGCTTAATATTAGGAAAGTAAAGAAATAAATATAGTACACCTAACCTATAGAAAGCTGACGGGTTCCTCCTGTTTTTAATAGAGGCCATTAAAACTCTGTTTTCTCACGCAATTGCATAGCCTATAGAAACGATGCTGCAACATGAGCTCATGGGCTCTCATGAAATGTTTGATTAGATTTTCGATTACATTTGCATTGATGTCAGAGTGATTAGAGGGACAATAGAGTGCTGAGTACCAGGCAGTTAGCAAGTTTGGTAGGCTACTAAAGACCATCAGCAGCATCAGAGATTGGAGAAGCCCAATTACTGTGACTAAACGGTCACGTGGAATTTGACTGCGGTCATGAATCGTGACCGCCGGTGTGGCGGTAATACGGTCACCGTAACAGCCCTATCTGAGACTACTGGGTAGGCATGAGTAGTAGCTCTATCTATACTTCAGCTATATCGCTTTGACCTGTACAGTTCCATCCAGTCCAGCAAGGGGAGTGAACAAGGGCAGAGGGAAGGGACTTAATTCTATGGTTTTTATTAACATACTTCCTGCTATAAAACAATCTCCTATACCCAAGATGCTTATATATTATCTGGTTGATTCAGCCAATAACAAATTCCCCATTTCCAGAGAGGTATTAATTGGTTGGTGTGTGACATACCAGGCTGTTGAAGCAGTGGTCGAGGAAGACCAGCAGTACAGTCTGTTCCTTCAGAGTCAGGCCAGCCTCCTCTCCAGCCAGCACGGCCTCCATCACACACTTAAAGAAGTAGGGGAAGTGGCTGGGCTTCTTCTTAAACACCTGGATACACATAATAAACCAAGGGTTAAAAACAACATTAGAGGACATTGATATAGAGGACATTGATCAATGCTCGCTGGAGACATTTGCCCTAAGTATCGCTGGTGCTGTCCATGTACAGCCAACACGCAACAGCCATACTCACAAGAACATAGAATGTTTAACAACACACTCACTGATTGTTAACACAGCTAATAATTTGCTATGTGAACCAAAAATTAACAACCAAGGATCAACATTTCTGTTTGACAGGCCAGGGCATCCATTCTTACCTCCCAGGCAGGGACATTCTCTCTGAACTTTTCATTGACGATGCAGCAGATAGACATGAGGTAGGCATTACTGGAGACTTCGGGATTGTAGTTCACCCATAGGTAGTTCTCGAGGTACTGGCTGAGAGGCAGGACACAAATGGCGGCATGTTAAAATCAGCAAATGACTGATGATAAATTATTATAATTGATAATGTATTGAGGCCATATTAAAAGGGTCAAAAACCCACCTGAACTCCAGTAACATGATCTTCCTAATGGCGAACCTGAAGATAAATTAGCAGACGTGGAGGATTTGGTTAAACCATTTATTTGACTTGTGGTAAGAAGATTTAACATGACAAAATACTGATGCTATTCAAGAGTTTTGAGTTCACTCACTTGGACTTGAGAATCTCTTTCTCATAGACATCCGCCAAGACCTGAGTGGGTGACAAATACAGTTTGTTAGAGCAAGCAGACCGTCTCCACTATATTCATAAATAATTAATATATGTAAGTAGGAGGCTTACCTTTGGGTCGAATGGTAGTTTATTCTTGGCATGGGGAGCCCAGTATCTGTTAGCCAACTTAGAGAAGAAAGGAGAGAGGTTATTATAACAATAACTATAATCTTGGCATCCCATAAGCACATTTTGTGTGAGCGCACTGGATTTGGTTCTGGGGGTGATGGTGAGATGTTTGGCCCAGAGTGAGTGGAGGAACCAGGAGGGATTCGCTTTGTCCACACCACCTCCCCTGAAATCGTCTTGGCCAAGTCTATAGGGGAAATTAACCCCTCCCGAAATTCAAAAGACTCCAGCCAGGGTTCCATTCAGTACAACAGAACGGTGTGCAACGTTGAATTAAACGGAAACGGAACTCAAATAAAATCAAAGCTCATTGTACACAGATTTGCAGAGGCTATCGCAGGTGCAGCAAAATGCTTATGTTTCTAGCTCCAACAGTGAAAAAGAACTGTACTGAACAACCAGTTGAAAAACTTTGTGATTATGGTGGCCCAGAGGTCGATGACCTGGTGTGCTGCACAAGTTCAGATGGTCACACCCATATTTATCAGGCCACACCTCGCCACACCCACCAAATGTACCTCTAGCCAGCAGATGCAACCCGCTTGCTTACAGCTGCACTAGGGACGGACAGTCTTCCGGTGTAGATTAAGACACCACATAGCTGGCGCGAGAAATGGCTCAGAAAACGTATCTCAATCCAGAATTGAGAAATGCGTTATTGTCCCATTATCCCAAATGTTTCACCGGGAAGATATCTCACGCCGGATCTGCTGTGTCTTATTCTACACAGGTAGCCTGTCCGACCCCAGCGCAGCTGTAAGCAAGCGGGACGGATCTGCTGGCTAGCGTACCTCAAAGGCTGTTGAAGAACAGTGTGCACCAAAAACGTGTTGTTCAGCACAAACCGTCACGCAACCTCGCAAACGTTGAAGTAAACTGAACGCGCCACAGGTGTACGTACACCTGCCAAATCGTGATTCGTTCAAATAATCAGTGATGTAAAAAACACACACCTGTAGAATAGAGTATCACAGTATGAGTCATAATACCCATAAAACATAGCGGTTAAACAAGGAAATGGTTCCAATATTTTTTTCACCATTCATTTTTCCCATAGGGGATTTTTGAAACACGTAAGGTCTGTGTTTCGTGTAAGCTTACCCTGGCGTGACGTTTTGATAACCGTGTAAATCTCTCTAGGCCTAGGTGACTAATCAATATATTCGGCATGTATTTACCACCCAAAATGAAATGCTAATTAGCTGCTACTGTGGCTATCATAAAGAACTACAAACGCCATGATGATTTGGACGAGACTGCCGAATCGAGGCAAAGGTAAGAATCTCTGCATGAACTATCGAATGTTAGCTAAATGTACTAATGAATAAATAGGCTACATTTTTTTTATGGACAATTCTGTGAACTGTCTTGTGCAAGTTTTAAATTGATACAATACTTGTTAGCAAAGGTGTCAGCTAGAGATGACGTGCAGGAGCTTGCAAGGATTTGTAGCCTTGCATGGTCTACTTTGATGCTAATTAGCATTTTCAAATCAGAGTAAATAGAGCCAAATATATTGATAAGTCCGAGAGAGATTTACATGGTTGTCAAAACGTCACGTCAGTGTACGCCTACACGAAACACAGCCCTTATTTTAAAGGGGAATTTCACCCTGACTCTGCCACGGCATATAGTCATTACTATATTAACAACATTACGTTTTTATCATAAACATCACAATTATCCAAACCACAAGGTAGAACTAGCACATTTTCATTTCACTGGTAGAATCGGGAAGTTTCGATGCCCTGTGTATTTGTCTGCTCATAGTGAAACACAAAATCCGGCATTCATAGCGAATGCTGATACAGCCCGCTAGGTAGAGGGGGCGTGGCCACACATTTGAATAATGCCATTGTTTACTTCGAACGATCAACACGCAGTATTCTTTTTCCCACTAATGTTTGTCATAATGCCCGTGTGGTGTTCCGTGCTAATTACAAACATTACAAAATTTGATACATCAGAAAAGCAGAACTTAATATTTGGTACAGAAACCTTTGTTTGCAATTACAGAGATCATACGTTTCCTGTAGGTCTTGACCAGGTTTGCACACACTGCAGCAGGGATTTTGGCCCACTCCTCCATACAGACCTTCTCCAGATCCTTCAGGTTTCGGGGCTGTCGCTGGGCAATACGGACTTTCAGCTCCCTCCAAAGATTTTCTATTGGGTTCAGGTCTGGAGACTAGCTAGGCCACTCCAGGACCTTGAGATGCTTCTTACGGAGCCACTCCTTAGTTGCCCTGGCTGTGTGTTTCGGGTCGTTGTCATGCTGGAAGACCCAGCCACGACCCACCTTCAATGCTCTTACTGAGGGAAGGAGGTTGTTGGCCAAGATCTCGCGATACATGGCCCCATCCATCCTCCCCTCAATACGGTGCAGTCGTCCTGTCCCCTTTGCAGAAAAGCATCCCCAAAGAATGATGTTTCCACCTCCATGCTTCATGGTTGGGATGGTGTTCTTGGGGTTGTACTCATCCTTCTTCTTCCTTCAAACACGGCGAGTGGAGTTTAGACCAAAAAGCTCTATTTTTGTCTCATCAGACCACATGACCTCCTCCCATTCCTCCTCTGGATCATCCAGATGGTCATTGGCAAACTTCAGACGGGCCTGGACATGCGCTGGCTTGAGCAGGGGGACCTTGCGTGCGCTGCAGTATTTTAATCCATAACGGCGTAGTGTGTTACTAATGGTTTTCTTTGAGACTGTGGTCCCAGCTCTCTTCAGGTCATTGACCAGGTCCTGCCGTATAGTTCTGGGCTGATCCCTCACCTTCCTCATGATCATTGATGCCCCACGAGGTGAGATCTTGCATGGAGCCCCAGACCGAGGGTGATTGACCGTCATCTTGAACTTCTTCCATTTTCTAAAAATTGCGCCAACAGTTGTTGCCTTTTCACCAAGCTGCTTGCCTATTGTCCTGTAGCCCATCCCAGCCTTGTGCAGGTCTACAATTTTATCCCTGATGTCGTTACACAGCTCTCTGGTCTTGGCCATTGTGGAGAGGTTGGAGTCTGTTTGATTGAGTGTGTGGACAGGTGTCTTTTATACAGGTAACGAGTTCAAACAGGTGCAGTTAATACAGGTAATGAGTGGAGAACAGGAGGGCTTCTTAAAGAAAAACAAACAGGTCTGTGAGAGCCGGAATTCTTACTGGTTGGTAGGTGATCAAATACTTATGTCATGCAATAAAATGCAAATTAATTACTTAAAAATCATACAATGTGATTTTCTGGATTTTTGTTTTAGATTCCGTCTCTCACAGTTGAAGTGTACCTATGATAAAAATTACAGACCTATACATGCTTTGTAAGTAGGAAAACCTGCAAAATCGGCAGTGTATCAAATACTTGTTCTCCCCACTGTATATGGAGGCTTAAATATACTGATCTAGTGAGATATACATGGCGGAGACTCAATCAAGCTAGTCGTCTTGACTTCTTTCTTATCTCATTCTCGTTGGCACCAAAAGTTTAAAAAGTGTTGATAGGGGACAGAATGCGGTCGGACCATCATATAATTGCCATATACATTACTCTTACTGAATTTCCACGTGGGCGAGGATATTGGAAATGTAATCAAAGCCTATTGGATGATAATTTATTTATAATTAGAACAAAGGAATTTATAACTGACATTTTCCAACATAACATAGGTACAGCAAATCCCCTTATTGTATGGGACACCTTTAAATGTGCCTTTAGAGGCCATGCAATTCAGTACTCATCTCGAAAACAAAAGCAACTTAGGTCAAGAGTTTATACTAACAAAGGAAATAGAAAGTCTAACAGAACAGATAGATGGCAATAAAAATTGTAACAGAGGCTCAGAATAAATTAGAGGAAAAACAAAAAGAAATGGAGAAACTTATTCAAGAAAGATCAAGTGTAATATATTGGTATTCCAAACTGGATGGAATATGGGGAAAAATGCACAATTTTTTTTTTTAATCTTCAACATAGGAATGCTACCAAAAAGAACTTAATGAAACTGGTTACAATTGACGGAGTCACCCATGATTCACCAAATTATATTTTGAAGGAGGAAACAAAGTACTTTAAGCATATGTTTTCGTTTCAGTCGCCTCCATCTCCTCTAACTGAAGCTAATGGTAGAGATTTTTTTCTATTGATAATGTCAAATTAACAGCCATACAGAAAGACTCATGTGAAGGTGAAATTACAGAGGAGGAACTTCTGGATGCAATTAAAGACTAAGTCCGGGAAAACTCCAGGGTTGGATGGCATACCAGTCGAGGTATACCAAACCTTTTTTGATATACTAAGAGGACCGTTATTAGCATGTTTTAACCACTCCTATGTAAATGGTAGATTATCAGACACTCAAGAAGAAGGTCTGATCTCATTATTACTGAAACAGGATACAAGTGGAAAATATAAAGATTCAGTCCATAAAAAAAATTGGAGGCCCCTTACACTTCAGTGTTGTGATGCAAAAATTCTAGCAAAATGTATAGCGCATAGAATTAAAAAAGGTATTGTCGGATATTATTAATTCTAATCAGACAGGTTTTTTTTACATGGAAGATACATTGGAGATAATATAAGGCAAGTATTGGAAACAATAGAACACTATGGAAAATATGGGAAACCAGGCCTGCTATTCATAGCAGACTTCGAAAAGGCATTTGATAAAGTACGACTGGGGTTTATATATAAATGCCTGGAGCATTTCAATTTTGGAGAATCTCTTATAAAATGGGTCAAAATCATGTATAGTAACCCTAGGTGTAAAATAGTAAATAATGGCTATTTCTCAGAAAGTTTTAAACTGTCAAGAGGAGTGAAACAAGGTTGTCCACTATCGGCATATCTATTTATTATTGCCATCGAGATGTTAGCTATTAAAATCAGATCCAATAATAATATCAGAGGATTATTAATCCAGGGCTTAAAAACAAAGGTGTCATTGTACGCTGATGATTCATGTTTTCTTTTAAATCCACAACTAGAATCCCTCCACAGCCTCATAG